CTGCTGGGAGCACTGGGTAGGTAATAGTGAGGTTAGACACATGGTCTTAGGGAATGATGATAAACCAGGTGATGCGGTTGTAAATCTACATTGATTGAGATTGTTGAGCCACATGTTACGTATTCCTGAACACCGATTACCACGATACGTGATGCTGACTAGTATGGAGGATAGTTTGAAGAAAGTTAGTGTTGGCCAAACCAAAACGTGGCATCAGTCCTTGAAGTCACTAACTTCTAGTCTGGGCCATGTTGGTAGGTGCAGACTACTTGGTTGGGGTCCACGTGACTATCGTAACCAATGTTTGGGGACTCTGGGTGACATGGCTCAGAATCGAGCACAATGGCGTAGGTGTATACACTTTCTGTCTTTTCTTAAACCTTGAGATCTGTCTTCTTTCCTATACTATACCCTTATATACAACCTTTCTTTTATATGTTACCACCAATAAATTAACTACTTTTATGAATCCGGTGTTCATCTTGTTGTGCTAATGAGGTATGGCAACTTCGACCGATGCATATTTGTGTCTGGTCCTACTTTCTAGCTGAATGACTGATTTTATTGACAGTCCTGTCTCGCTAACCAAAAATTCACAAGGCATGTGTTAAGAATTATCATCTCTTATTAGCAATCTACAGCATTCTTTTGTGAATAAACTGTGTCCAGTAGTCCCGAATGTTGAGACTTCAGTGGGTCTTACCACAACGTTAGGATCTAAAGATTTCTAGTTCTTGAATTAAATAATGGACCCTATACTATTTGTGTCGACTATAAAGCCATGAGATGAATCAAGAGATATACATAATTGTTGTTGAATATGAATATTACCTTTTAAAACGGTGGCTAAAGATAAGCGATCATAAAGAACAGCCGAATTATTGGGGTTTTAATTACAAGACTTAGTAATACTTGAAGCAACAGTTGTGAACAGTTGTTTTGCATATTGACTGAATGTGTCCTATCTTACTAAATTTAAAACAAATAGCCTCAGGAAACGAACACGAATTACGAGAATGAAATTTGCCACAGGGTAAACATTCGCCAAATATATTCCCACACTTTTTGCTTGCTTTGCAATTCCTTGTTCAATCAGCCTTCATATTTTCACGAGAATAAGAATCACGATTAAACGAACGATAATTTGACCGATCCTTGGATTGATTTTCATCATGACGACTGGGAAAAGCATTAGAAAATTCCATCAACTGCATATCAAGTTTATTCATTGCTTCGAATTTAATACATGCAGTTCTAGCATCTTCAAATGAACATTTGGGCATTCTTAACAGCTCTTTTTTCAGGCGCGGTATGTTAATTCCTGCACATGTAGTTGATCATCAAAATTGCATCTGGCAGCTTGTCATTGAGATTTAAGGCTGAATCCCCCAACCTTTTAGTTATTCTGATGAAACATCTTGTGAAATGTTACTCTTTCACGACATTCGAAACTGGTAAACTTTACGTGATTTAATAGTAGTTCTATAAGAGTTGAATAACGAAGTGAGATAGGCTTTTCTGGATATGCCAAAGTTTTTAATAAACGATAGGCTTCTTTACCGATGAATGTGAGAAATTAGCCACAATTTTATCATCCTTCACATGTTTCTTGATCATGCTCCATATATCAAACCTTTCAAAATAATCCTCAAAAGCTTCAGTAGATAATTAAATATTCAACTGTCTCATCGCGGGCTAGATCACGAATCCATCGTGATAATTAGGTATATTTGAATTATTGTAGAAACTAGGAATCACAGAAATAACGCAATTTAATCATGAAGTACCAGATGATCACGAACAAATGTATTGTATTTGGAATTCAAAATCAAGCAGACATCAGGTACAAAGGAATTGTTAGTTCATGAAAATACCATATTCAACATCCGAAAATTACATATACGGTAATATATCAATTACTTGGTGCAGTTCATTCTCCTCTCACAATGAGGTGCTTAACCAAGAATGAAAGACTTTTCCTGAAAACGTGTTTCCCCACCATAAGTTTATTCTCTCACATATGGTTTTGTAGACTGAATAAATTATGACATCTTTCAAGTCCCTTGGTAGTTTAGACTGCCTTAAAGGCACATAAGGCAATATTGCCAGCAGTTTGTACGTTCGATCGTTCGTGGCTCTCATAATCCGAGGATGGATATCATCAGGACCGCTGGACTTCTCTGGTCCGAGGTATTGGAGTAGTTCCTTCCTAATAAACAACAGACTTAACGAAGTTAATTTTGAACTTCAGCTGTGGTCTTTCATCATCGCCAATAGGAGAAATGTGGCTAAAATATTTTGGTAAGGCTTCAACACTGCCAATGACATTACTCCCCAATAAATAGCGTTATACATTGTAGCACAACTTTTAGGACTCCACCACAACTCTGAGTTCGGACTTTTATATACCAGAGCAGCTTTTTGTGACTTCTTTGAGAATCGTGAATCTGTAGGTTGGTTTGAACTGTTCACAGCTTGTAGAGCTGAATACATACTAATATCCCTTTGTCAAATGAGAGGTTTCGAGGCCTCTCTTGTTATCAGTGGTGGATGGTTTTTAAATCTGAGTAGTTTCAAGTGTGCTAAACATGGGAACATAACTGGATAAATGCACTTTCAAATATGAACCACGCTTGTTCGATTGACGTGTCATCATCAAGTGGCGAACCCATTGCTACACCGCAATTCCTTGATGATGACCGAAATGTTTGCTCTCCCCATATTTAAGAGGGGTCGAACCTGACCATAGATTACGTCACAATCCCTGGACTCGAGTGATAAAACAATATGACCACTAGTAGCAAGCTGTGGGAGAGTATTTAAACATCCAACATCCACAACTTCATGAAAAATTAGTAAATTAAACGAGTTTGAGACAAAACGCGTGTGTTTGGGTGCAGGTTGTATCAAGCCATGTTCCATCACAGTCATAAAGCGCTTACCGTTACCGGATCCTACGGTGGACAGCTTTTTCTAACCTACATCAGGCACATTAAAACTATCTGGTACCTGGCACCGATCGCTTTTTCTACATTGCTTGAAGTGTTGGAAAACGAGTTATGCTGAAAACATTTCTCAGACATGTATGGCTTGAGTGTTAATAACATTTTGTAGATATCAGGACATGGCACCTAAAGACTAAAAAATGTCAGTTATTATTGTTAAAAATATATGCTGAGCTCACATGCGGTTGTTAGAAAATTGATGGAGTTCTGAAGATCAGTGAACTAGATACGTAAAAAGGCCATTTCATTGGGAAAAACTGTGTCAACAATCGCCTAAACATAACCGGTTATTACAAGAAAGATTACGTAAAGATTACTGAATAGCTTAACAAAATTTGTCACCACCATCCTTAAGGTAGTTGACGTAAAGCATGGACACCTTATAGAACCCAACACGTTTTTGAGGACGTGACAGAATTTCGCTGGTTACACACTTTGTTTAAACAGCAACAACAGTCATGGTCAACGAGTCACTAGGCAACTCAAACAACACAAGTATCGCGAAGGACTTAGCGTCAGTGTTCCCTCTCCTTCGAAGTTTAAGGACTTTTTTATTTCTTCAGCCCCATGGTCACCCCAAAGAATCTACATGGTTGAAGGTCAACATTTCTGCCTTTCCAACTGTCTATTGTTTTCAGTATTTTGTGATAGGCTCCCACAAGGCTACCCTGAAGTCAAAAAATGAGTGCTCCAACCCTGCCTAAATCATGAGAGCGCCCAAGTTTGCGATCAGGATCATCCTATTCGTTCAAAAAGCTAACAAAAACACTCGAAGTGGCCTGGTAATTTTCCTGATTTTCAAGTTAACAGCTTTGCTATGGTGCTTTATCTAAAACCAGACTATCTCAAGGAGATTTTATTACCAGGCTAAAGAGTTCATTTTCGTATCATTTTCTTTGCACACACATTATTTTCCATACCGACTAATTTACGACCTTTATATCCTGTACCTCAGAGACTATGAAAGTTGTATCTTGTTCTCTTGATGAAGTAGCTGGAAAGTCAACTTCACCCAACAAAGACGCCTATCTGAAAGATCTCGTATTAAGTTTGCTTCATCAAAAACTCACGTTCCATAGGTAATTTGTCATAGCGCACCATGTCATAATATTCACGATCTGTAACAGCATCCACTACAGTTAATCCTCGTTTTCAATAAAGACAGACATACAGCCTCTGCACTCAGAAATGCTTCCCTGTAACAGTAAAATATACACAGACAATGAGAATCAATCTTTTAAAATCGTCAGTATGTAGTTGGTCTTCACGAAAGTGACATCTAGGGAGAGAAAACAACACACTTCGTACTTGTCTTTCCAAATGTCTGGTTTAATAACGCAAACACGCATTTAAGCCATTATTTGAATTTTGTTTATGCCTGAATTCCGAATTCAAAATCTAAAACTAACTGATTTTTCAGGATCATGCGACCATGAGAATTCGGAGAACTTGGTTTTTCACCCATTTTTTACTTTCCGAATTTCATTGAACCTATTTTGGATATACATTTCAACAAAACTGCATCTTCCGACGGGTTGTATTTGTTATTAGTTTGTTACATGGTGCCTGGAGCTCTAAACCTTGAATCGGTTTTCGTTTGAGCTTATCTTTAATACAGATGTGATGAGTGTCACTCATTTTATAGTTTAATTTGTATGACAAATAGATGTATTGTACTCATCCGCATCAGAATGAGTGTGTCAAGCAAAGAAATAGATTGATTGAGTGCTACAGTTCAGATCCGCAAACATGTCTCTGGCTTAGGTACTTAACAGAAAATTCAAGTGAAGACATTCATAAACTCCGGAGTCAAAATATAACAGCGAGTTGACAAAGTTTTATAGTCATAGAAATACAGAAGATTGACCGAACTCTAAGTAACTAAATTCAGCTCATTTCTACACCTTCGACAAAAAGAAAATTGAAGATTGTACGTTTAATGCCCCAAGTGTTTGTATCATTGTTCTCCAGTTGGCGGACTTAGTTGCTGGTAGCATGGTGAGTTGTAGAGTTACTACCGATCTTTATCGTTCAGGCTCCTGTCTCCGTGAAAGACGTAGATGGACATCTTTACATCAAAGCACTGGCGCAGTTTCTCAAGAAGTAAGATGTATAACATTCCTTGGTTTCATTGTAGAACCGGGAAGGTAAGGCTACCCGATTGGACGGACGTGGTTAAACTATCATCAGCCAACCAGTTAGCACCATATAACCCTGACTGGTTTTACGTTCGATGTGCCGCTATACTCCGGCATTTGTACATCAGGCCTACTGGCTTGACTGGTTTAAGTCAAGCGTTCTCCAGAAAGAAGCGCAATGGTGTCAAACCATGTCATCGTTCCCTTGCACATTGTTCGGTCATAAGAAAAGCCATACAACAAATGGAGGCACTTGGAATGTGTCAGAAGCGTGAAAATGGGTAAGCCGGACACTTTTCATGAGGTTAAGGTAATAGACAAACATCTCATTAAACTTATTTTACTAGCATGTATTAAGTAAACAGAACAGTGACTATCGCCTGATTATTTTTATTGCTGATTGTGCAATATTGATGGTCACAACGTAAATTTCCAAGTATGACAGTTTCAACGATATGTTTGTGCAACAGGTTATTGCCATCTAACAAAAATCAATGTAACCACAGTGAAGCTATAAGTAGGATATCCCTGTGGATAGATAATGAGCTATCCAAGAAGTTGTCGATAGCTTGTCAATAAATCGACTAAAGCTGCCATCATTGTGTTTCTGTATGCATGTATCTTTCAGCACCGGAATAATATTGAGTGCAGAAGAATGCGATTTTTATTTACATGAAATACGTAGTTTGGTTTCTGATAAACTCGTTTGCATTAACGAAACGCTTTTCAATAGGACATCAACCAGCAGGGCCCTAAATACATGAACCTGCCAGAAATCACTTGTGAAGTCGCTGTTTTTGTAAATTGGGTACTACTGTCTCAGCCTTTTTAACGTTTGTGCATTCTGGGTTTTTTTATTAATTAGGACCTACATGATTAACTTTGTAGCTTATTATTAACTCTTTGAAAATTTTACTTTCAGTGGAAGATGTCTTACATCAACTGGAAGACGTGATTTGGACCGCCTAGCATACCAAATTCTGAAAGAGCGTCATTAATACATCAAATACATGATATTGGCATTATAACGTATTTTCCATCGCGAATCTTCGTGTAAGACAATAACCTGAGATATCCCAGTATGATATGTTTACATTTCAGTTGTACCTAGATCGTAGTTAGACCGAAAAAGTTATTTCCGGTTGAACATACATCATGAAGCAAAGTAACTAATTTACGCGAAGTTAAATAAGTGAATCGTTCGATCAACTTTCACTCGAGATTAATTCATGTGCTCTACGTAGTTTCCCACCTTTAAGCAGATGTCATTAAGACTTGAGCATGTGATCATGACAAAACTATACGCTTGTGTTTACTATAATCTCGTAACAACGGCTACCATGTACGAAGCATGGCTCAGTAGGTTGGTTTCGTTATAATAAAGAAACGTTTCCAGGTTGTTTAAATTTCAGACTCAGTTGTAACAAAGTCATCTGTTGTAAATGTGTCATAAGTTTGTTGGCGTGAACGTCCCGAGTTCTAGTAAACAAGCGAAAATACTGTGTGTGTAGGTATGTAAAGTCAAATTCCCTCTGAGTTGTTTGGTGATTAGATATGCTGCTTATTCACAGCATATAACTTTCGCTTCGAGTGTCATTAGTCCAATCGATAATTCACTGCTCTCTAATTGGCGGTATTATCACGTTGTACATTAACAGGGCACGCAGGCCACAAGAAATAACAATATGTGGATTGGATTAAAGCATGTTCCGTGCAGGATTGTGTTGGGGCATGCTGAGTGGATATTTCTTAGCCGATCAACGTTAGAGATAATTGAAGAAAAGTCAATAAACTTCCTGTGTAAAATAATATACATATTCTAACACTTTTCTTATTGTGAATCCTTACAACCATTCTATCTTGTCATTTATAAAATAGTTACGTTCCTATTCAGTGGCGTTCTGATTTGGGAACTCGTTGGGTGAATTAAGGTGTCCGAAAAGTGCTAAGTCATAAGAGTGGCTGGGTTGTAATAGAAAAAATTATAACACTACTTTATCGATGTAGATTGTCCTCAAGCTATTGATAACACGTTTAATGCTGAACAGTTTGGTTACTTATTCATAGCGTATAACTTATATAAAGTGAGCAAAGCAAGAGGCCTATATGATACAGGATATGGTTCATTTTGACAGCCTGGTTTCCCATCCTGCTTTTACACCCCAAACTGGAGACATTATTTTGTCAAAGTAGTGTGGATTCTTGTTTATCAGCAAACGGCAGCAGGGCGTAAACGATATTTTGCCTAAACAAATCGGGTTAAGGCAAGTATATGAAGAGTTTTTAGGACAGGAGGTAGCTATTTGAGCTGAATGGATTGGCAATATGAAGGTGCTGAATAGTTCGCACTGTATGACTGATACTTCAGTCAATATTAACTTAGAGAGAAGGGTAGAGACATTAGACCTCAACAGTAGATCGTGATGGATGTAAACCTTCTCTACAATAATGAAGCTTGAAACAATGTACCAGGACAGTGACAATACGGTTACATATAATTACCTCACCACGAGCACCTAGTTGTAGTCAATTTTGTCGATTGGTCCATGTCTACAGTTTCGAAATCCCGCTTTTCATATCCGCACACATTTACTGATATAAAGTTGGAATCTGACACTGTCCATTGAGAAATATTTAAACACAAGATCTAACGTGCTCCAAATGCCATCTGCGTCAGAAAAGTTCTAAAATCTCTACTTAGTGTAGTGTGATGCCGGTCACATTCGGAAGATATGGAAAAGTTATGCACAATTAACCTGACGTGTACCATGAAGGCATGTGTGCTTTGAGCTCAATGACTACAAGTGTCACATGTAGCAGCAGATATATGTGCGCTGACGGCCTTCTATCTACGAATTATCGATTTCATACAGTGAGTTGCCATTTATTATCGCATTCAAATCCTAAGTCGTAGTTGCATAATTCTGATATTTACGGACTGAAAGTAGTTAGTGACTACGATCTTTCCGTCACAGGTTTTTATCATATAACCTGCCAAAGTTTAGGATCAAATATTTTCATGTGAAAATATAGTTTAAATGCTGCAGTTTCAAGTGATGATGACCAGGTTTTGTAAGGTGGCATATCAAAGTTGAATGATATGCATGTATGTCGGCCAGGCTGTTTTTTCGATCGTTGTTCATTTGAAGCGTACGTATCGGATAGATTGACGAGCGAACTGTACACAATTACGCCTACTGTGGGAAAATTAACGACCGGAAGGTTCTCAAATATGCTTCCAGCACTAGTGCTTCCTTGTCCTGATGTTGCTTATCATGACATTGAGAATTTTATCAAAATAACCGTGTTCGTAGGAAAAAAACTTCAACACATTTAATTAGCATATAAGTAGTCTATTTTAATAGTGCACTTGTTTTTTATATACAAAATGGTTTTATGGGAACAAGCCCGATGGATACGGCAATAAAATTGGAAAAGTTAGGAGTGTGCAGGACTTATTATGTAACATGAATCTCAATTCAACACGCTTTCGTTGACTGTGTGTATACGTTTATATGAGTGTATCGTGATTGTGCACTAGACTGCCATTCTTGATCTAACCCATTACCACCTGGTAAAAAAAGAAAATAGAAATACTTCAATGCTTATATACAAAGAAAGTAAAATTTGCCAATGAATAGGAGGTTTTCTATTCGTGTTTGCAACGCGAAAATCGTTGCCTAGTACGAACAATAGGCAGAAACTACGTTACGCAAGATTTAAGCTTTTTAAAAAAATATCCTCAGGTGGGTCGCTTTTTATATTTGTGTATAGGTTATCTGCAAACTCAAAGCTGTCTGTTGTATTCCGTGTTTCCGCTCAGATGTCGAGGTCTTCAAAGTCCACTCAACTACCAGAAGAAAGAGAAAGGGGGAGAGTAAGCAGGCTTGTCTGACTCCGGTCCTCACCTGGAATACGTCTGTCAGCTGTCTTCCATGCATGACTTTGCCGTATAGCCCGTCGTATGAATTCCGGATGATGTTGACAATTTTGTCAGGTACACCATAGAGTTGAAAAAAGTCCCATAACGTCTTCCTATCCACATTGTCAAGCACTTCCTCATATTCAAAGGAAGTTGATATACAGTGCCAAGTTCCTTGCAGTTGATTGTTCAACGATAATCCGTGCTGTCGCGACCGATCTTTACGGAATCCGGTCTGTTGATCTCGATGTCAGCCGACTACTGAGTCTTTCATCCGGTTCAGCAACACTGAAAACCATTGGTTAAGATAGTCACGCGTACCACAACCAAGCAGTCCGGATCTACCAACACGGTTCAAACCAGTAGTGACTTTATGGACTGATGCCACGTTCTGGTCTGACCACCCCTAACTTTCTTCCATCCGTCTTCAATACTAATCAGCGTTGGACGCCGTGGTAATCGGTGGTTGAGCATGCGTAATACTTGGTCCAACCACCTCAGCCGATGTAGATTTACAACTTTATCAACCGATTTGCTATCATTCCATAGTATCCTGTGTCTAAACTCCTTCACTATTACTTGCCCAGGGATCGCAGAAGATGCGAGTAATACTTCTATGACATCTTTGGTCAAACACTAGTAACTAACGTGTATCCTCTACCCTTAATGGCTATGTCTCGCAGCTGTAAAGTAAAACAGAACAAACTATTGTTCAGCATACTTGTTACTTAGTTGGTAGACGGATATCTCGCCTTCGCCATAGGTGACGTAGGTCGGCAAAAGCCGAAAGAGCTTTTGGAATCTGTGCTGAGATTTCGTCAGACACCAACCCATTAGGGTTGATCAGACTTACAAGATAAGTGAAGTTGTCGGCACGTTCGACTACTTCACTCCCTATCCTTAGTTCAGGTGTTGACGCAGACCAGTCCTGAAGCAACAATTTGCCTCTAGAAGGGGAGAAACGCATCCAAAACATCATTGCATTGTTACTCAGTGCTACCAAAAGACTTCCATGTTATCAGCGTCTTCACCAAATAGTCGATAAGTGGACCTCCTGGTAGGAGATCACTTCCAAAAAATTCAGACGAGAACGTCATTCCTCGTAGTAGGTCTATGACGAAAATGGAGATAGTGGACAGCCTCACCGAACTAATGATATGGGGTAAAGTAGTTGGGCGCGTCGACCACTTTCCCTATCTTGGAAGTTCTATCAGCCTTAGTTGTGGGTTTATATCTGAAGAAATCTCGTCGCGAACTCAGAAAGCTTGGTTTGCTTTTCCACTGAGTCACTTGTGGTGTAGGCCAGACATCCATCTATTAATCAGAGGACGAGTACACTGTGCAGTAATTCACTTTGTCGTACTTTATAGCCGTGAAATGTACCCTCCAAAGATAAAACATATTCTTGGGTTACTAGTGTTTGATTACAAATGCGATTGGACCAGTGCTCGCATATGTTAGGACCAACAGGTGAGCAGTGCTGAGGTTGGATGTAGAGTACTAGGTGGAAATTGAGAATTGGTTAACGAAGTTGTAAATGTTCATAGACTGAGGTAGTTAGTACATGTTTCATGAAAACGTTATCCTATTTACCATGTCGCGCGATTCCCGCTGGTATAATAGAAGGTTGAAAAAAATGCGGTGCATTTATTAACTGTTGGACTAAGCCGGGTAGGCAGGTGCACGTTTGATGTTCGGTAACATTTCTGAAAATATGTTACAATGGCGCAGATCAATTCATTATATATTGCCTCATAACTTCACCTATTTTCAAAATTATCTGCTACTCCTTTATACCACGAGTACACATTTTCTCAAACCACACAGTCTAACTAGTTTCTTCGACAACCGTTAATAGTGTCACTACTTGTAATACTCCGGCATCTTGCCTGTTCCGAAGTGGTATGCCAACTTAAATCGATGAACATGCATTCCGATAAATTGAAGAAGGTTTCAGAACCTTGATAGCTGTCAATTTATGAAACATGATGTTACCTAATCAACATTATTTTCCATCAAGTCACATTTCAGTGTCTAGGTTCAACAACTGGTATACTGCCTCAGTTGAATATACTGTTTTGAAATCCTGCCTAAAAAAAACATCGTATGAAGAGATGTATGCTTATTGCTTTAAAGGCCACTAAATACATTATTGCCAATTCGAATTGGTTTTCTTAAGGGCCACATACCAAGCCTTTGATTTGAAGGCCTAATCCACAAGGCAGTGGAGCAACATTAGTAGATGCGATCCCATCGTAGCCGGTGACCAACAATGAGTTCACACACCATTTGTTCCTTCAGAGTCCTGGAGCCCATATGCACCATTGTTTTGGAATCAGGGTTCTCCAACTCCCCTAGGTGGTCGTTCATATCCACCTACCTGGTTAATGCACCGGACATTCACCCTTCGTCCTTTGAATTTTGTAAACAACAGTAATGCCACGAGAAGGCAGTGAGTAGGAATTGCCCGACCGTGTCTGTGTATGTGAGACTATATGAAAGCATTTCCAGATGGAAAGCTGGCTCTACTAACGTTCAATAGTTCAATCGCCAAGTAGTGACTCAGATTATTGTCGAAATCTTTAATCACGCGGGTTAACATTGATGTTAAAGCAAAATAACCTGTCGAGAACCCATCTTTGCCTTCAGGAGATAACGTACAATCCCTTGGCAATTCCTTTAAGCGCATCTGTTACGTGTTGTGGAATCGTAGAACAACGGATAAGTTGACTTCAATAATAACCGTTCCCGAGAAACGATGAAGCTTGTCCACTGAATCTGGTCCGGGAACATTTCTGATTGCTTGAATTATATCCTTAAGCTGTTTGATACCCTGCATACTGAGAACGTGATGTGAATATTCCAGTTTACCCGTCAAATACCGCAGCAGTTTTTGCTATCTCCCATCGATAGCTTATCCTCATCTAAGTGTTGAAAATAAACCATTCCAAGTTCTTTCAAAAATGCAATTATAATAACTTTTTAATAATGATTACATAAAATCCATCATATGCAGACATGTTATCTAGTATTTAAAAGAATTTAAAATTGACAATGGAAGAAAGATAAATGTAATACGCGTGAAAAAGTTAAAAATTATGTTTGTAAAGCAATAAGAACCCGTTGTAAATATACGTATTAAAGAAAAAGCTCAAAAGAAATCATTATTGCATCAATAATTGATGGTACAATAAGAGTTTATTCAGAGATAGTTCAGAATGACGCTGAAAATGCTACAAGCATTTGGGATTTGACAACGCCTTTACACATAACACCTTTATAGTCGAAATATGCCAACTTAGTCAAATCAGAAGTGAAGATGTTCGAAGATATATATGATATGCTATCGAGAATTGATCAATATAATCTGACTAAGGGCTGTAGGAGATACGTAGTACCGCTTACCCACTCGTGGTCTGGTGCGGATGCGTGACCGAGCAGCTTCAGCTAGGTGAGTTCAGTAAAGCTGATGCGATCAGTATCAACTATGGAAGACTTGCAGAGTTATTGATCTCAGGGATTTATTTAATATTTGTGGGCGAGAATGATAATGATTGGTTGTGTACGTGATCAGACTTGTAGAGAGTCTGACAAGCGTTAGATGAGTTATAATATTCCCTTTCCTTATTATTATTCATTGTTGTTGGATTGTGCGCCGATTCAAACTCCTCAAGTAACAGAAACCTGCGGTTATACGATGACTGCTATTACATAGAAATCAGCTTCTGTTAATCCAATATTTTCCGCTATTCCTAACATAAATAATAAATGTACTGATCCTAATACGTTCATTATCTTCATAGCAATAAGATCAAGACTAACATGCTCAGATTTTGGTCGGGTGCATCGGACGTTTGATTATTTTTCAGTTGTACGAGTAGCTGTAATAAAACAGATCACTTAGCTTATCCTATTCTTACCTAACTTTACAAAACTAACACTATATTAAATTGATTAGTATCTCTAGAAAGTGTTCTTGTATTAAAAGTAGATGTCCACGAATGATCTCCAAAATTTGAAATCGTAATGGATTTTGCAAAACCTTGGATGGTACGGGGTTACACTATACAATATGCTCTAGAAGAGATATACTGATTACCAATTTTGCATCCAGCCAAAAAAACATAATTGCCGTTATAATGCAATACCATCATTGTAAAGCTTCTGTTACGCAATAAGGTACTTCGAAAATGAAAAGAAACCAAAATGAACGAGCTTACCTCTTTCGAGTTTGTTCTCGGACCTTAAATTATTAACACCTGAGTCATCAGGTGACGAAACATCTTGGTTCAATTGTGAGTACGGTTCATAGAAATGATGGTCAGGACTAGTGTCGTGAAGATGGTCGTGCCCATCATATGCACTAGAACCGCACATACTGCATATGTTTCCGCCACCAGTGGATGCACCATCCGAAGCGCCAGCAGGATCACATCGCAGTTCACAACCATAGGAAGAAGGATTACTAAAAAACGAATAGTTTAATCAAGATTTTTTTGTTATGTCATATAATTTAGTGTTTCTAACCTGGCAATGAAGACAATTTGTTGGTCAAAAATAATTTATTGCTACAGAGAATTCATAGTCGTTTAAATTAAAACTAACAAACGGAGAAAATATATTGAACTAATAACGTGAGCTTCACATTGGATGCCTTCAAACAACTATGAAAATAATTTATGTCGATTCGTTATTGGTATATCAGAGTTGTGACATCTTTTGATGAGAATCAATTTTCGAATGGATTTCGTACGTACAACAGAAAGTTGTTTCTGTTGAAGATATAAGCTCAAAGTATACATTTTAAAATGAACACCTGTGGATTCTGGTCCTGGCAAATCCTGACAGGTTTCAAAATAAAGCAACAAATGAGCCCAATACTTCACTGCTAGTTACTGATCTTCACTATTAGGAAAAACAGGTCATTTGTAACAGTTTACTTAGCATACCAAAGCATTAAGCTTCCAGTTTGAATGAAGCTACCAATCCTTCAAAATACAAAATGATACGTGGGTGAGGATGATAATGATTGGTTGTCTGCTTGATCAGACTTGTAGATAGTCTAACAAGCGTTAGATGAGTTATAACATTCTCCTAACCTTATTATTATTGTTGTTGGATTGCGTCGCCTTGTTGTCGGTTTTGGGTGTAGGAATATATATACTTCTAGTCAGTAGTTCTTGATCTGAGTTGTGTTGAAGCCCTGTTAATTAGACACCGGGAGGGAATCAAGTGTAGATATTCGCCTAAGGCAAATTAACGACCCATTCGTGTAGACAAGAAAAACAGCATTATACTATAAAGCGAATAAGATAACAACAGACAAAGAAGATTTTAATAACAGCAATCGGTACCAACATAAAAATCACGAAACCCTAATCAACATTTTATAAAATGAACTGATCATTATAGAATCACTGATGATTACTTGTAAATATTACTTCCAATCCCGTGGGTTGCCAAATCGCATAATTTATCAATTTGCTGACCACGAGCTGCTTTTAAATATCCCCACGTATCACACAGCTGGCGTGAAAATTGTGTTTGAAGAAATGCAAAGTGAGCTCTTTCCTCCTGTAACTGATTTGTTAAGAAACTGCGTTGAGAATAAGGAGGATTTGATTCGAGTAGATAGACATTCTCATCCTCATTACATTCACCTGTTCGAGATAACAATTCATGAGGCGCTTTATTCCACAAAAGATCATTGTTCCCAGATGAAACGTCGAGACTAGCAGCACGGTGAAGATATTCATTTGTTGTAGGAGAGTGGAATGGATAATGTAGTGGACTCGGATAAACTTCATTTGGATATCTGAGACCTAAAAAAGATAGTTGTTTCGAACTTCATTACTAAAGTAATGAACTCAAATTATTATGTAGCTTTGACACATGAGGTAAGCGGAAAACATTAGTTTAACTGTGATAATAAACCAAAACTCTGCTTTTTGATACAACACAAAACAGATTAGAATGAGACAAGCAAAAGCAATTAGTAGGAAAACACAGTGTAGCTAACAAAAATTTTGCTAAAAAATACACCGGATTTTAAACGAACAAACAGACACAACTAATCACATACCAAACACAAACGTTTGAACTTCCATGAACTATTAATACCTGGAGGTAAAATGAAATTCCACAGTTGAGTTAAGATTAAATTATACATAAAGTACATAAAATTTAGTGAGCAAACAGAATCATGTGAAACAAAAGTGACTCGCTTTTTGTACTAAAGTGTATAATCAAATTTTTTTGACTCTTATGCTAAGGTTTTTGAAACTTAAAGTTACAGAAACCTACATATAGATATGCACTAAACGCATTAGTACTTTGGTAGTTAGTAATACGTTTTGAGGACTGAATACGATTAAACAGATCTAAATGGTTTGAGATTAAAACGAAACAATAAAGACATGAGAAGAAAATGCTATTGCAAAGATCAAAAAGTTACCTGACTGAAAGGCATAGTATTTCGAATGGACGTTTGTGGAACAAGGTGTATATTGAAAAGAACAGCCACGATTAGTAGGATGGGGTAAAAAGTGGTTGTTGGTCAAATTATAATCATCTGTAGACGCTAATCCACAGTCGTTCTCTGAGTAAGGCATTTGCATGTAACTTGTCGAACGTTCCATTAAGGGAATATGAACTGAGTCAGATGATCTTGTGCTTTTCGGCTGCGACTGCTGTCGCTTTAAGCCACGACTAGGCTGTGGACGAATTGGCATTCGACGGTGCAAACGTTGATTAACAATAGGAGAAAGTATTGCAGCCAAAGATGGACTCGAATAGATATATCGGCTGTGATCTGCAGGATCGTGTGGGACGAACTGAACGTGACAACTCGGTGTATAGTACTGTGAGTGTCTCAGAACACTCGTTGGTACAGTATAAGAAACCTCACGAATAATTGTTTGAGGTGGAGAGCGTATATGACAGATTGTAGGAGGTTGGTGTCCAGTAGACATTACTGCACAAGCACACGGATTATGATCACTATGAGAGACGTCTGTTGGTCCGACACGAGATTTTGAATTGAAAACTTTATCATTGTGAAGAGCAGGCAAGCTACCGGGGACAATAAAAAACGGAGTGAAAGAGGTTTCCGGTTCTTTAGAAATGGACCCCTCGACAGATACTATTGGTATTTCACCAGTTAGACAATGATTTCCAGACGATAACGATTTAAGGGCGATGCCACAGAAACTACCATCAGGATACACTGGACCAAGATTAGTAACCAAATAAGATGGATACAAAACCACCTAGGTTGGTTAGAAAAAAACCCACATCAAATACAGTTTGAATAGGTATGAAAAGTAGTGAGATAACATACCGTCAAAGTAACTAGTTGTTAGCATATGTGTTATGTACCGATAAGAATTATGAATCGTAACTTTTGAGAACTATTTATGGACCAATATGCATATATTTTTATCATATAATTGTTAACTAACAAAACTATTCATATTCGTGTCCCACTTATTAAAGGCTTTATTTTGACATGTGAACTATTATTATGACTTACCGTTCTCTAGTTATACCCAGTCTATTAATTGCTGTTCCCCACATTCACAGCCACTTTCGGCTAAATCTTGTACAAATGTTATTTTCTATTTTATGGTACGATGTGGTCAGTTTGATTGGTATATAAACTCAGTATGTTTAAAATATGATTTATATTACAGAGGCTGTAAGAGGTGTCCTGGACTTAACTGGCTGGGCTAGGCGGAAAGCAAGACCGATAAAGACTCTAGACTGCTCGTATATGTTTCGTGTGTCATTGGTCCGATCGATAATTCACTGCTCTCTAATTGGCGGTATTATCACGTTGTACATTAACAGGGCACGCAGGCCACAAGAAATAACAATATGTGGATTGGATTAAAGCATGTTCCGTGCAGGATTGTGTTGGGGCATGCTGAGTGGATATTTCTTAGCCGATCAACGTTAGAGATAATTGAAGAAAAGTCAATAAACTTCCTGTGTAAAATAATATACATATTCTAACACTTTTCTTATTGTGAATCCTTACAACCATTCTATCTTGTCATTTATAAAATAGTTACGTTCCTATTCAGTGGCGTTCTGATTTGGGAACTCGTTGGGTGAATTAAGGTGTCCGAAAAGTGCTAAGTCATAAGAGTGGCTGGGTTGTAATAGAAAAAATTATAACACTACTTTATCGATGTAGATTGTCCTCAAGCTATTGATAACACGTTTAATGCTGAACAGTTTGGTTACTTATTCATAGCGTATAACTTATATAAAGTGAGCAAAGCAAGAGGCCTATATGATACAGGATATGGTTCATTTTGACAGCCTGGTTTCCCATCCTGCTTTTACACCCCAAACTGGAGACATTTTTTTGTCAAAGTAGTGTGGATTCTTGTTTATCAGCAAACGGCAGCAGGGCGTAACCGATATTTTGCCTAAACAAATCGGGTTAAGGCAAGTATATGAAGAGTTTTTAGGACAGGAGGTAGCTATTTGAGCTGAATGGATTGGCAATATGAAGGTGCTGAATAGTTCGCACTGTATGACTGATACTTCAGTCAATATTAACTTAGAGAGAAGGGTAGAGACATTAGACCTCAACAGTAGATCGTGATGGATGTAAACCTTCTCTACAATAATGAAGCTTGAAACAATGTACCAGGACAGTGACAATACGGTTACATATAATTACCTCACCACGAGCACCTAGTTGTAGTCAATTTTGTCGATTGGTCCATGTCTACAGTTTCGAAATCCCGCTTTTCATATCCGCACACATTTACTGATATAAAGTTGGAATCTGACACTGTCCATTGAGAAATATTTAAACACAAGATCTAACGTGCTCCGAATGCCATCTGCGTCAGAAAAGTTCTAAAATCTCTACTTAGTGTAGTGTGATGCCGGTCACATTCGGAAGATATGGAAAAGTTATGCACATTTAACCCGACGTGTGTTACGAAAGCGTCCGTGATGCATATTTTCTTATAGACAATGTATATCTATCTTTGCGTATAAAATTTAGATGATGGCACATCCCAAAATATGAACCGGTTTACTTAAAATGAATCTCAAGTGCATAAGCACTGTGTGGACTAACCTTTTTGTTAGACTGAGTCTTATAAACAGCACGTTCGCTATGTAGATCTACTGGACAGCTAGTTGACTCAAACGGCCAAAACGACGACTGAGGGTAACAATTCGTTCGCCGATCGAGTATCATTTCTGTGCGTTTAACGTGAGGTGTTACAGGAACAGACACTGAACCCGGAGCAAATCGATGATCAGTAAACTCAGAATAGACAGGGAACGAATTTACTGAAATGTTTGGATAGAGAGGATCATTGTAAACCAAGTTATTTTGGTCTGTGTGAATGTCATCATCCCATGATTTTCCATGATGTGCTGGGTATCCATCCGAACTGGTTACTGGTGGATAGAAACTATAATCATCAAAGTAGTTACCACACCGATCACCATTCATAATATCACTAGTAGTTTTATCATTATCTTCAGTGGGATTAGAAATGGATTTCTGGTCATCATCGTCATCGTTCAACGTTCGGAACATAGGTATACCACCTATTTTAACGTCTTTTTGATTTTCTTTCTTCATGGGACTGAAAGCAACTTTACAGTTGTATGGATTGGATATACATTGAGAAGCTTGAGTGGAGGGCGAATTAACTGCATAGGTATCGAACAAACGATTATGGTTATCAGAGGTGTAAGGGTTTTGGCATTTTTGCTGATGTATTAGTGCCTCTTCAAGTTGAGCACACCGAGCCTCTAAAACTGATTTAGCTTCTAAAGCCTCAGCCTTTTCTGCACGTGCTTTCGCCAGTCGTGCTCTTTCAACCTAATTTCAAAGAAAATTCGGTAGATAATAATTTGGAAAGAAACAGTAAACGATTTGAAAACAATTAGAAATGTCTTTTGCATAGATGTAAACAATCGATGCGCATACAAATGGATAAATCAATTTAACAGTACATCTAGCAAACATGGATTGTTAAAAACTTACACCGGAAAAAATTGAAATGCAGAAGGATAATACGGAGACATAAAGAGTATAATTAGTTTAGTAACGAAAAATCACTGAGAATATAGAAAATGACATATTAATTGAAGAAATCTGAAAAGATACTAAAATGGTAGGTTACCTCTCGTCTGGCTCTCTCTTCTCTTGCTTGTGCTCTCATTTGCTGAACCTCAATGCTATCCGGTTGACGACGTCTCATGAACAGTGAGTGGTTACCAGCACACATAGACATAACTGTTTTAGCTTGATTTGGGTCTGCTAACCAAACTTCAACAACACTGATTGACACTGTCTCAAAATTCAAATTAGACGATTTAAGCAAACCTTTGGACGGTAGTGAGACATTGTTTTCCGCAGACTGAACCCTAGGTGCACGAAGACAATTCACACTAGTTCTAGTAACTGCAAATTCATTAGCAGAGTAACAAGAGGATTTGATAGATAAACCAGGAATGCAGCGTGAACCTAGTTCAAGAACTAAACAAGAAACCACAAGTTATATTAAAATTGAAGACATCGAATAGCAGATTTTTCCAGTGAATATTCGTTAAGATTGTAAATTAAACTCAATATAACTATTTCGGCAGTGCACAAATTATTTATTTTTAATTTTAGAGAACAAAAATGAATAATTATTATTCCTTTACTCAATGTCATAAATTTTGGTGCAGCAAAAAATTCACAGAGCCAGTTGTGCAATATTCTAACATCCAAATAATTTGTAACTATTCAAAACACATTTTTAAAAAATAATTTCTAACATTTATTATTGGTCAGCAAAACTTAGCTGCTACGACTATTTTTCTATCCATCATATGTAAACTGCTTGAATTCCAATACATTTGTCTCCTGTTCTGTCAAAGGATAAATAAAAAGAAAATACGCCAAGAACTTCAAGACTTCTGTTTGAGTTTTCCAGCAATAAGCAGTGAAAATATTTTGTAACCCTTTAATAAAGCGCGAGTACATACACCTACCATTCTTAATCGTCAAATCTAAAACATCTGGAAAATAGTTTGTTTAAATGTACTTTTTTTACTGGCTTCAACCATTATTCACGGATTTCCAAGACTTTTTGTGAACAATATTTACGTAAATGATTAGTACAGGAGGTCGAATCAATATTTTATGTACTGCTGAGGCAGTGGTAATCCATGAATTCAAGCCTGAACTTTGCGTGCAGAAACGATTTTTCCAACCTCTTACCCTTCCTTGGCCCTAATTCCCTCACTGGAACAAATCAATGTAAACCATATGACTAGTAAATGGATATTTTAATCCACTATTTGAATCCATGCTTTCAATCAGATTAAAAGTTCAGTCATTATTTTTTGTTGTTCTATGATTAGTATAACTGAACACAAAATTTTGCGGTAAAAGTTAAACTAATAGAATATATATATTAACATATACTTCTTTATTCTTCATGTATCAATACGAATCGTTAGTACACATCTTATTCCAAGAGTTCTATGGAACAAGAAATTCAGGATCGGAAATTTTAGAAGCAGTCATTGTTAGCTTATTTTAAATTAAATTATACTGAATTTAAGAATGTGAAAAGTATGCAAGGGTTTTTAAGATAAACGAAAAGACAGCAAAATATTTGTAAAATATTGCTAAAAAAACTACTATTTACAGTCAGTCAACCACAAAAATGATGCTGGTGAGTATAAAAATCGATATGAAATTGTCAAGTCAAATTTCAGAGTACAGGAGCTAATAAAAGTATGTGTTGATTGAAAGATTAGACATTAGGGATACAATAAAAGAAAATATAAATAAGTGTAATTTTAAAAAAAACAAAGAGAAAATCAGAAGCAAACACTTCCGAAACGCGCATACAAGATCCGAGTAGCGTCATTCATTTGAACTCACCTAATCAAAATAAAGAACCAACTTGATTCACGCTTAGTGTATCTGGAAGTACTGATGCTGGTTCTCGTGGCTTCGCTGACGTAGGTATAGCACTAAGTCCTAGGGCAGAACTAGCTCTTTTAGACTGGATCCCAGTAGACAGTCATCTATGCGCTGTCCGACTAAACGGATCAGTAAGAACTCGGAAAGATAGGGAAACTCGTCGTTGTCTCTTCGTCGCCTCTGCCTACTCTCCCACTGACTGCAGCTCAGACGATATAAAAGATGAGTTTTACAGGAAAATTTCTGACCTCCGAAAAGCTAGGCGTTCTGATGTAGCTATAGTGGCTGGTGACTTTAATGCTCAAGTAGGTAAACTAAGTGAAAGAGAAAGACACCTGGGTGGATCTTATGGTGTCGTGGCTAAAAGAACAGATAATGGCGACCGTCTGTTGCAGCTGTGCTCAGATAACCGCCTATTTCTTGCAAATACTAACTTTAAGCATAAGGAAAAACATCTTTTGACATGGCGACCCCCGAATTCGTCCCAACGTTGGATCCAATTAAATCACATCGCTATCAGCCACCGATGGAGGGGCTGGATAGAAGACTGTCGCTCATTCTGGGGCACATGTTTAGATTCAGATCATGCTCTAGTGCGAGAACGTATCTGTCAGCGTCTTACCGGACGTAGGAAAGACACGGCAGGGAAGTCTCTAAGGGTTCTACCTAATGATAAGCAAGCTAAGAATATATTTCAGGAACAACTGGAAAAACAGTTAGACAGACATGTAAGTTGTGTCCGCCCTGAGGCAGCGTGGAATGACATCCGAAAAGCTGTGGAAACAGCTGTGATATCCGCTAGTAAGGTAAGCCATAAGGTCAGGGAGAAACAATGGATCTCGGCAGCATCTACCTCACTGATAGATGCTCGAAAACTCATCCCACCTGACCCTGAACATAGCGAAGAGCAGAGTCAGCTTAAGCGAAGGCTAATAAGAAGCCTACGCAATGATCGTGAACAGTGGTGGGTAACGAAAGCAAGAGAGATGGAAAAGGCAGCGGCAATAGGTAACAGCAGACAACTATTCAGACTTATTAAAGAAACCGGTATTAGGAACCCAACTATTAGCGAAACTATTTCAGACAAAGATGGGCATATCATTCATTCTTAATCCAGGAGATTGGATCGATGGACAGAACACTTTAGGGATCAGTTCAACTGGCCTTCAACCACACTTCAGTTACCCACGATCCCCAGTCGTCCTGAATGGTAAATTGAGGTAAGTCCTCCAACTCTCTACGAGGTTGAAAAGGCTATAGGAAATTTAAAGCGAGGGAGAGCCGCAGGCCCTGACAAGTTTACCCCTGAGATTTTTAAGGATGGCGGTCCAGTACTAGCAACGAGATTGACTGAGGTCTTAGGTAGAATCTGGGAACTGGACGTAATTCCATCTGACTGGTCCCAATCACTGATTGTGCCAGTCTATAAGAAAGAACAAAAGTCCTCCTGTGACAATCACAGAGGGATCAGTTTGACTAATATGGTGTCTAAAATATTAGCTTCAATAATACTTGGACGCCTAACCAAAGCTCGTGAAGAGCAGACTATAGAAAACCAGGCTGGTTTCCGACCTGGACGTGGTTGCATAGACCAGATATTCACTCTACGTCAGGTCCTAGAACATGGACATACATTCAGACGTCCCACAATAGTAGTATTTCTTGACCTTAAGGCAGCATTTGACTCCGTTGATCGTGAGGTTCTATGGCAGTGTTTGTCACTGAAAGGAGTACCAGAGAATTACATTAACCTCATAAAGGCTCTCTACTCGAACACAACTGGTCGAGTTACAGTCTATGGTGAACTGTCATCAGAATTGATTACCTCAAGTGGTGGTGCAGAGTCTTCTGACCACTATAAGCAACAATGCAGGCATGTTCGGGATGCGATTCTCTCCCTCGAAGTGCAAAATGTTACTTCAGGATTGGGTTGCATCGACACCTGAACTAATGATAGGGAGTGAAGTAGTCGAACGTGTTGACAGCTTCACTTATCTTGGGAGTCTCATCAGCCATTGTGGTCTGGTGTGTGACGAAATCTCAGCACGGATACAGAAGGCTCGTCTAGCTTTTGCCAACTTGCGCCATTTATGGCGTAGACGAGATATCCGTCTAGCAACAAAAGGACGGGTTTACTGTGCAGCAGTCCGTTCCGTCCTACTTTATGGAAGTGAAACATGGCCGATAAGAGTAGAGGATATTCATAGACTACTAGTGTTCGATCATAGGTGTCTTCGACGCATTACTCGTATATCCTGGGACCACCGGGTAAGTAATGCAGATGTTAGGAAACGGGTACTAGGTAAGGATGGCAAATCGACTGATGAAGTAGTGAAACTTCACCAGTTGAGATGGCTGGGACATGTGTTACGTATGCCCAATCACCGACTGCCCCGACGTGCAATGCTTTATGGTGTAGGAGCAGGTTGGAAGAAAGCTAGGGGCGGCCAGACCAAAACATGGTATAAATCCATGAAGTCACTGACAAGAGGACTGGGCCATGTTGGTAGGTGTAGACTACCTGGTTGGGATTCGCGAGATGATAGCAACCGATGTTTACAGACCATTAACGATATGGCTCAAAATCGTTTGCAATGGCGAAGGTGCATCCACTCTTTGTGCTCTACCAAATTCTAATCTTCTGAATTCCACAAGCACCTATCCTTCTTCTCTTTACAAATTTGTTTCACCGAATTATACTCCTTCAATAACATCTTCAAACCCTAATTTTTCCGATTACTGCTTATACTCTTACTACTTCTACCAATATGGGATTTGAATTGACAACTTCATCTCTGTGCTAATGTGGTATGGCAACTCGAACTGATGTACGTACGTACGAAGTTCTACGTTGTAACTGACTGACTGACTGTCTACCGGAATCTAGTCCAGGAGGGCCTGTTTTGCTTTTGAACCTAGTGCTGTACCTACCTCGGATAGACAACAGAGATCTATGTTGAGACTTTATGATAACATAAACAACCCTGTTTTCTTATCTGCATTAGTGTGCGAACGTTGAAGGAAACCAGTTTGAGTCGCATACAGTCTTTTTGGAAAGGCTGACTCACAATTCGTAGTCGGTGGTAGCATTCAACTTTTGACTAATTAGTAACTTAAGATCGTATGGATAGAACAGAGTTTCCTCCATAGGCAAGCTGCTGTGTAAGTCAAAGAGTAAAGGAATACACAAAATGACGATAAATGGTAGTGGAGAGTGACGTATAATAAAAGAAATTAAAACGGATATTATCATATGATTCTCTGAATGAGAGCTGAAGCAAGATTAATTTTTTCCAGTAGTCATTATTGCTTGATTCGCATGTGAGATGGGATAACGCACGGGGGCCCGGACCGGAGCAATTGGTTTTCTTAAGGGTCACACACCAAGCCTTTGATTTGAAAGCCTAATCCACAAGACTGGTGCAATATTGGTAGATGCAATCCCATCGCAGCCGGTGACCAACAATGAGTCCATACACTATTAGTTAGTTCAGCATAATAGAGCCAATGTGCACCATTGTTTTGCAATCAGGGTTCTCCAACTCCCCTAGATGGACCCTCCGTATCCAACTCCGCCACTTGTGTCCGAAGCCAGATGGGATAAATTTCTAAGCATTTATCAGTTACGTAGTCACAAGTAAAATTCACTTATTCTTATTAACCTCTTGGTCTATTTGAATCCCACCGACGAGTTGATTGTGGGGATCGCCAGGTCAGACAATGTTTTGCCATATGTTTATAGTTAGCGTTTGCTAGAAATAGACGGTTAAATGAGCATAACTGCAGTAAATAGTTGCCATTATCTGTTCGCTGAGCAGCGATACTGCAAGACCGATTTTACAGACCACCTTTTGAGGATTAAAATTACCCATCACTCTTATTACGTCGGAGCATCTAGCTTTTTGAAGGAAATTGAACAGCTTCCTATAAAATTCATTTTTAATTTCATCCGAGCTGCAGCAGCACGAGCGTGAACGAAGACAACGAACAGTTAAGAAGGTGTATCCCTATTTTTCGTAGATTTTACTGCCCATATCCGCTTTTCAACTTAATTCTATACCTATACCAGTAAGACCATGGAAAGTAGCAGTAGACTCTTTAGATACATGAAGGGTAAATCGCGCCGTTTGTTCATTTTGAACCAAATAAACGACTGCGTTTGGATCCTGTTTGAGAGTTTCAGAGACGCAACACACATCGGTGATGCGAGATTCTACAGTCCTAGCTAAAAAACTGTTGTCTGATCTGACAAAAGGTTCGAGCATTGAAAACCCAAACTTGTAGTTTAGAGCAGGGTTTCGGTAGATCAGGAATTATATTTTGTGAACTCACATCATTAGCATTGGTGTTGCGTTGCAATAGAGTTTCGAGAGAATGATTAGTTTTGGGGACAGGATGATTATCAATAGGTGAAGGGATTTGATTATGGACAAGATTATACTGGGTACTGTTAGAAGCATTAGGGCACATCCCACTTTCTAGTTGCCCACACTGTGGAAGGATATTTCTCACTGGGGGGCCTGAGAAAGAATCTGGGTTAGTGGTGGTCTTAGTGAACTGGGAATGTGACTGAAGTGTCGAAAGTAAATCTGCTTTAGTTCGGTCACGCACTACCTTTATATGGAAAGTTTTTGATGTGTTCGCTTCCCATTTCAAAAAAGCTTTACTCACGGAGATGGAAATCAATGTGGTAAGGTGAAGTGTGAAATTTTCCGAGTCGACCTTTTATAACCACCTTCGTCCGTTGTGAAAGAGCACCGGCGCTGCAGATGCTAGTTGTTCAAGGGAAACACCTTACTGCTATCACAACCCCCTGCAGTCACCAGTACGACCTCACTCTTTGGACCCTAAGTTGTAGCTTTAAGTTTTACTGACCTCCAACCGACCTGCCTGGCATAGTAGGACCTAAAAGACCATATATCCCAGCCAATAAAGTTTGGTTGAATCACCACCATAGGCAAGCCCGACAACCACGTCAATGTAGCAGCCACTGTTGACACTACTGTTTACACGAAAAAATGACACATTATTTACTTTCAGTTCAGCTTACCTTTAGCACGACCTTTGAAACCTTTAGGAGCAACGAGTTGTTGCGCAGTATCACATGATTCGAACTTGGAAACAGCTCTTGGAGATGAAAGGTTAACAGACGCATCAAGTAAATTTGGAGAAACAGGTGGAACCGCAGGGACAAGACGAGCTGACATTGGAGTGCTAGGTAAGCTTGCGGCAGACGTTCCACTACCTCCTGCACTAGAACCTACAGCAACGCCAACAAAGGCTTGGCCTGTGATACTAATAAGAGGACTGCGGCTGGGCTGACTTGCTTTTGATGAAATTACAATTGGTCCCCTGGCTTCATTCAATAAGGTAGGGATAGATGTAATTTGACTAGGTTTGCTAGTTGCACGACAGGTACTGGTCAACTTGATCGTAAACTAAACGATGATTAAAAAGAAACCAACTTAAGAAGAAATATGGAAACACAAACATGAAAGAGACAATTTCGCCCAGTAAAAATAGAAATTTTATAGTCTTTCATCTGCTGATCTCAAGGATACTACTATTCTCCATTTAGTAGGTTGTTCGCTTTCTGTAGTAAAAGTTAGTGACGAAAAATGTTCACTGTTTGGCACATCCGCAGAGCTTTATTGATTAGGGAACGGACGAAGACAAATAATTCACTTTGTTTTATACCTGATTATACATGAAACAGAATATAATTCAGTGTGAGCAGAATACATAAGTCAATAAACAAATGATCAGAAATATGTAATTAGTTTTGTACTTGCATACAGATAGTTGTATAAGTGTGGATTTTTTAATAAAATTTGTATATTCGTTATCAGAGTACTTTTTATTGACTCAGACCATACTTTATAGATTTTGATGTACAAGTTGTTTTGTATAATCTATACATAAGTGTTTTGTACAACTACATGTAAAAGGTTGCAGGAAAATGTGTTTTATTTCCAGCTAGTTGTTAAGATGAATAGTCAACCACCGGGAAACCATAATGCAAAAGTTATGAAATGAAACGAAACGGATTATCAGAAAATCTGTTTAGGATTTTTCGACCGATTTTTGTTCGACTGAATTTTATATTACAGGTGTATGTGAGGGCTAGTGATATTACATAGTCCCCCAAAACAGATGAGGTGGGGGTCGGATCGGAGACCTATTGCTTGGGAGCATAATTTTTAAATCACAGTAATCACTTCACTTCAAAGATAGTAATCCGTTTGCAAAATAAAAGATAACCGTGTCCGGTCTGGAAACGCTCAATATTTGGTAGATACAAATCCATACAATCAGCAACATTTCTGAATAAATTGTAGGAAGTATGCTATAATGAGGGTTAAGTTGAAATAGGTTACATTGATCCGTGGAAATTTTCGCCAGAAACGGATGGAAATATGAAAAGCAAACTTAGATTTTGAAAATTTAGGCTAGCTATTTGATTCATGAGGTATTCAGCAATGAAAATGTACAAAAATAGGTTCATGACAGTCACCAATGCTTTAGTGGGTCTAAGCTATAAGTAACAACACTATTTACATTAAAAAAATATTTTACAGAATTTTCTAGGTAACAGGAGATGATATGGTAAAATTATTGGGATAATAATTGTCTAACAACCAAATCAAAATATACTATTATGGCATATTGTGAAGTTAAAAACGATTGTAGTTTATTCAGTGATTAAGATAAAGGTGTCAATGGCCTACAAAGAACGAAATTCTATAGAGAAGAACATGGTGGAAATGTTATATGAATTTGGCTGGGCAATATAATTAAGTAAAAAAATAGCTCACCTTGCGTTCACGATATGAAACGTTTTTTATCATATTCCAAGGAAATGTAAATTGAGGTGGATCACGTTGACACTTTCCATACAGTTGAAGACCTGCAGCTGTAACACCAAGCCAAGCATTTGTGTGACATTGATTCTGGTAGAAAAAATGGGAGCAAACAAAATATTATCATATATACATAACCATAGTACATGGATTTTAAATATTACCTTGGTAATTTCTCCCGAAAAATAGCTATAAGCTATTCACAGTATTTTGGATGAGCCTCAACTCATCCGCCAAAGAAAACCCAGAAGGATTTTAATTAGATACTTATTGGTATGATTCTTCTATTTGACTGATGGTATACTTAGCCCTGACTACCTCGTTAAATATAGTCGACAGACGAGATACTTAAACAGCTTTTCGCAATAAGCTGAACATCATCTGTGAAAACATATGACGCACATGATGGGGTTCTAAAATATTTAGATTGAGTAAAAAATTCAGCAGGTACTTGAGCATAGGCTACATTCTAAGTGTGAGGGTTAGCGATACTACTCGGTCGCCCAAACTGAAGTAGATGGGAGGTGAGGTTCATGCATGTGACTTAATAGTTAGAAGTCGAACGCCTTAGCCACTCAGATACCAAAGCCCATCCCCAAAACATATCTTGATATATGAACAGACAAAAACCTCTAATGCGACCTTTGATATAAATACGGGCGGTAAGTTCACGACAAAATTCCAAAGGGTGTATCTCTCGCTTCATCGTTATACATGTAAGGGGATTTCAGAAAGCAGTTATTTCAACCAGCCTTAATATAAGTAGTGGTGTGAAATTTTGTATGTTGTTGATAAACTGTGCGGGGATGTAAAAATTTAGCTGTGGGGCTGGCTCGATGTGACAAACAAATTAGTGTTGGTCTTATTTCCAAGTTTTTCAGTCCCGTCCTGACCGTAATATTAATGAAACTACATACACTACAACCACATATGGTTATATTTAGACGGGACTAAAGCTTTGGTTATTGCTCATATAATTTAGCAATGAACCTAAACTGAATGTATATCTGCATAAAACCAGCCAAAAGTGGCAAATAAAATACTTGAAAAATAAATTGATTTCATTTGTGATTTGAACAAAGAAACAAGAAGCCTTGACAAACTACGGAAGCTGTTTTGGGGGACGTTATTTCATTTAATTCCAAGCTTGTAAAATAGTAATATTTACTTTTGTTCCTGATTTATTCTACAGATCATAAGCTTTCGTTTGATGTATGATTCACTGCCATAGCATTTTCTGTTCCAAAGCCAGATCGGATTTTGGAATAAAGCGAGTAGTGTTCCAGTCGTCTTGTTTTTTCTCTTGCGCGTGCCTGTCAGCCAATCAGGTAATGGAATAGTTTTTGTCTCTCTACCCCACTTCGGACTCACGCATACTAGCCTCAAGGTTAAGCCAGTCAGCCTATCGCGTCAAGGTCTTAATCTACATTAGACAAGTTATCCTCGGCACGAAAGTGGGTAGACAGATCAAAGACGTGGCAATTTGTCATAGGCGAAACAGGATAGTGGGCTAAATGGTCTGATATTATAATGAATAGTATTCTGATACTGGATGGTTGAAATTAAACAACAGAAGGGTCACAAATGAGTCTCATTAACTACTGTTAACCACTATGGAACGTAAAACTCGAGACAACAGATAACGATGTAACACAATTAAAAGATGGACGAAATCAGATCACTAAGATGTATTTTCAGCCATGCAAATCAACAGTTATTATGCGACTCACCAGAATGTATCTTTTGTGTTTATTTTATGACACCTTAAATTATGTATTAATATATTATTTAATGAAATAGCTTACAGTGTTGTCCCAAATAGTTGATTCGTTCTGCGCCAAACTTAACGTTCGAGGAAACTTCATCCGAACATACTGAAAGAAACATGAGAGTAACGGAACTATTGAATTTGACACCGAATAATAGAATATTGATACTAAGCTCATGAGATACAAGGAAGTCAAAATTTGAGGGGGATGAAGTGAAAGTGAGAACCACAGGATAAAAAACACTCAAGAATCCTATGATCTCGAGTATGAAGTCTCTAACTTTGGGTCAAATGGGGAGGATGGAGACTTCTTAACTGGTTTTAGACAAGAAAGTGACGTAATATTCTTTTTGATTATCGGTTTCGGACTGTTTTATAGAAGATTTCTAATATTTGCTCAACTTTTAATATCAACCCTATCTTTCCTCGCACTAGTTCTAACAATCAGATCAGACTAAATCTTACCACCGATCTTGTGCGACCGAGCCCGACACCACGTGTTGAAGATTCCCATGTTCATATAGTACCTATGTATCTCATTTTATTGACGTTCGTCATGTGTGAAATAATTACGCATCAACTTAGTATGATCATTCATTTGAATCAATATGATTCAACATTTATGTATCTGAAGACTCTGTAGTAGCATCTCATGGTGTTTCAGGTGCAAGTATGTGAATAAGCTCGAAAACACTGTTTGACTAGACTTCTATCGACAATCACTTCAGTACTTTTCGAATAAAAGAACTCAGGAAAATATCAATACATCCCATTGACTCTTCGTCGTTTCTGCTTACACATACACTAACCGAAGCTGTTCTATCAGTTGATTTCTCATATGGAACTGGTAATCCTAGCCTCAAGAAAAGTGGGCCAAGTTAAGCTGAAAGATACTTAAACGAGGCATTTGCCACACCAATCAAGCGGAAGACAGAGAGTAACAACGTAGAACTTCGTACGTACGTACATCAGTTCAAGTTGCCATACCACATTAAATCAAGCGAAAAGGTAACGGTATCTGTTGCAATGGTTGTTAGGCAACCTAAAAAGCACCAACTTTAAACATACAGATAGACATTCTCGAACCCAGTGACCCCCAGCATCATTATAGCGACGGGTGCCCTTGGTGAAGATCGATAATCGATTTCTGATCCTTATGAGGGACATCAGTAGACTCCGACAACGCTTTAGAACGAGTATGCACTTATATGTGACTGAAAGCGGGAAAATGTTACGAGAGGACTTCGTCAAACTCACAGATAAAACAATCTATAGGATATTATTCCTAAATGGGCTGTAATGATTTGTAATCTTTAAAAATACAACCGAGAGCATTTATTACTAAGGCTTAAGACCAATTGATTTCGGAAGCCTTAATTGGATTAAGCGATTTTCAGACACTCAGCTGGGATGACGAGTAGAGAACTTATGTCAAAATTAACGAAAGTATGCGCAATGATAGAGATTAGTGGAGAGCAGCAAAAGTGAACATGTAAAGAACAGTCGTGATAGGGCCGGATAACCCGTTAAACAGACCTAAGATATGACAGGATCAAAAGGGTAAAATCAAGTCAGTGCGAAGATTAATAGAAGATATTCCAAATGTGTGTTTATAATAAGTTATTGATTAACCAATGTTAAGTAACACTAATTCAAGTTATACAGATCTGATTGTTAATCTGACAACACATAAGTTATGTAAAAGTAGTGTATGTATACATCATTTTGACTCATTACCGGCATCAAATAAGTTTTTTCACTAGTCATTGGATTTGGGTTCCAATACCAAGCAAAAGTCAGTTAAGCAACTCCGCAGACGTAACAGTAACAGGCAAAACAAAAGAGATTGAGGTTAAAAGTTCGGTGTTTACGAAATAATCTACGAAAACGATAGTCTTGACTGCTTAGGACGACGGACAGACCAACTCAACTACAGCTCAAATACTTTTCAGTTATCCAATACTCATAAATAGCCTGAATGAGAAACCAGAATTATGCTCCAACCCTAAAAAGCCATAAAAATATTTGTAGATGTCTGGTTACAGTTAAATCTAACTCTGCAGACTAAGATCTTGTAAGTGTTGGGATTTGGAAAGCTTATTAAATAAGTATTGTAGGTCGGCGCTGATCACTTATTTAATTTTATAACACAGATGCTTCTAGGAATAGCAGTCTTAGCCGGATATTATATAAAATCGATCTCATTATCACTACTACTAGTAAACCTGTCTTCATGCTATCTATTTGCACTGTTTATCTGTTATTTGTAGTCATGCAATCTACTTCATCGTGATCACTGACTTATAAATTTCCTTGATCGATTTATAGTTTCATATAAATATCCATGTATATTAGAGTAAAGCCTGATGACGACCTAATCGAACGCTTTTCTCCTCTAAACTTAAAATACTACTTCAGATATGGTTTTAGTCGTTGTGTGACTCGAACATACTAAGTATAGTCAGCTTACTAAGTATAATGGTTAAGTTCACTGTTCATTTCATCTGTTTAGGAAGTTGCATTAGCCTTGGGTGATCGAGGCTAATTAAGCCCTGTAACTGGTACAAAAACACAGTCGTATTTTTTCAGTTTGAACTACCCGTATCCCAGACAAGAAATCCATCTTCTAATCAATGAGCGAGTATGATGCATAGGTCACTCTAAAACATAGTCTATGTATGTATACGGCATACGTTTGTGGAAATCATATGATCATAGGTCGTGAATTGATAATGGTTTGGCGTAAAGTATGTTTAAGAATGAAGACCTCGAATAAACCGATAGGACCCAAACTAATGGGTCATCTAGGAATGATAATGATTATCTATAACTTTAATAGAATAAAAACACATTTCCGTCGTGGAAGTAATATTCAACAAATCGCCGTTGACTACACATTCGTGGGAAAAATCTCACGTTCGAAGCGGAGTCCACAGGTGACAGATGTTTGTCGAAAGAGACAAGTGCAATGTTTTCTGTACTAGAGACAATAAATGCAACATTGAATTATAAAACACGACGACCTATTATTGTATACAGATGAATTAAACATAGTCCATATTTGAAATGTCTGATATAAAACATTATAGTAAAACGGATACTTACGACAATAGGAAAAAAATCCACCCCAAAAAGGTTATGCATCTGGGCTACTTTGAGATACTGAAGTTCCGCTTTGTCACTGTAATATCATTTAAAATGAAAAGATGAAAAATGATGTTAAGTAACAAACCGATTCATTCCCTTGTGGGATTTATAATGTTCCCGAAACTTTTGTGTTACACCTTGAGTGGACTGTATTTGGGTCCATAGTTGAGCTGGGATTAATCTGAGAATACGTCGTGGTAAGAACGTGAGTTCCTCTGTATCACTAAGCTCTTCCTCGCAAAGATCACCGTATTCTGCCTACAAACAAATGATGACTTTAAAAACATATCTAAGGCTTTTTAAAAGAAAATATACAACTGACAAAATTAACGATCAACTTAAAACAGAGCAAACACAAAGGCATTTTAGCCACAAAAACATTTGTTTCGATAAGTAATTTTAAGGTTGTTACTGTAAGAGTTATTCCTATGACGGCTGTCAGCTTGACGTTAATACGACTTCCGAAACATGTCAATTGCAGGTAACCAACAATGATTTCAGTCGGTGATACTGCTTTGTAAAATCCTATGAACTATGATGTTTTCCTCCGTCATCGATTTTTAATGAAAAATAAAAGCATTTCTACGAAAGACATATACCAACCACCTCAGTTGATAAACATTTGCTACCTCGTCAATCAATATTCTATACCTAGTACACTATTTCTAACCCAAGAACCGCTTACCCAGTGGTCCTAAACTATATAAGCAATCCTTCAAATACATTTATGATTGGATACTAGTAACCTATGAATGTCCTCTACTCTTAAAAGTCACGTTTCACAACTATGAAGTTGGATGGATTGAAGTGCTTCACGGTAAACTTGTGCTTTTGTTGGCAAACGGATGTCCCGTCTTCTCCACAAGCGACGGAAGTTGGTTAAGGCCAATCGAGCTTTCTGAATACATGCCGAGATTTCGTCAGCGACCAGCCCAGCAGGACTAACGAGACTTCCATAATAAGTGAACGGTCGAAGCACCCTACTTTTCCACCTACTATTGTTAGTTCAGGCTCTGACGCAGTCCAGTCTTGAAGCAACATTTTACATTTGACGTGAAACAATCGCATCCCGAAAATGCTGGTGTTGTTTTCTAAAGTGGTCAGAAGACTCAGCATTTTTTCAATATCTCCACCAAACAAAACTATATCATTTGTGTATTCTAAGTCAGCAAGTGAATCTCCTAGTGAAAGATCAGCCCCTGAAAAGTCAGATGATGAGAGCATTATATCTTAACGGACATCAACCACAAAGTCGAATGAAAATAGAAAAAGCGGACAACACATCAGCTTTTGCTACCCACGACTGCCCATGATTATTGAGTAGCCTTTTCATCAATCTGCAGTCAGACTGCCTCCTCTCCATACTGTGTTCAATGCTAGATGGGACGGAGGACCGATCAGTTAAGTAGACGCTAGAGAAATCCAGTGACCTTTTTTAAACAGGTGGTTTTAGTTACTGTTAGACATCATTGCTGTTTACTCAGGTGTTTGATCATTGTGTTCAGCTACCTCGGGGCAAATATCCCTTTCATGTTTGACTAACCCCTCCAGTTGTTCCTGGAAAATATTCTTAGTTTTTTAATCATTATGCCGAACTCCAAGGGGTTTCCTGCTGTGACTTCTCTGAATTCAGCAAGACAGACAAACGCGTGGTTCCACTAGAATACGATCGGAGTCCAAACATGTGCTCCAAAATAAGCCCCAGTCTTATCGAACTTCTCCAAAGACAGCTGATTGCAATATGGTCTATTTGTAACCACTGTTGAGTCACTTTTAGGTCAGCATTTTAGATAATGTCTCCGTTTATACTTGAAGTTGGTTTTAGTTAGAAATAAGCGGTTTTCTGAGCATAGTTGAAGATGTTCTCTATAGTCTATTAGTTGAGTTGGTGCAACGTCGCACCCATACAAATGCCTTTCAGTTTGCATAGGATCACCCACATGGACGACAAAATCACCTGCTACGAGTACTATATCTGAGTGAAAGGCCTTTTAGAAAATTAAAATTCTATGAATGTTCATTTTTTAAATTCATCTGAACTGCGATTAATGAAAACGCAAGGAGAGGCAATGAAGAGAAGACAACGTGTCCCTATCTTCCCGACTTTTGTTAACTCGTTTAGTCGGACAACGCACAAGCGACTGTCTACCGGCTCGACCGTTGCTGCTACCTTGACGTGGTGGTTGGGCTTGCCTATCGTGATGAAGCAATCGAGCTATGCTGGCTGGAACAATCGTTCCTCGAGGTCCTACCATGCCAGACAGGTAGGCTGAAGAGCGGTAAGACTAAAAGCAGCAATCCCAAGGTCCGAAGGCGAAGTCGTACTGCCGACTGTACAGAGGTGTGACGGCAGTAAGGTGTTTCCTTCAGACAACCAGCATGACAGCGATGCTAAAATTCTATGAATGCTCATTTTTTAAATTCATCTGAACTGCGATTAATGAAAACGCAGGGAGAGGCAATGAAGAGACGACAACGTGTCCCTATCTTCCCAACTTTTGTTATCTCGTTTAGTCGGACAACACACAAGCGACTGTCTACCGGAATCTGGTCCGGGAGGGCCTGTTTTGCTTTTGAACCTAGTGCTGTACCTACACCAACGAGGTCTTCAGATCCATATGGTAAATCGCACTGGTGGGGTTGTGTTCAAATGGATTACCACACTCAAATTCTGTACGCATGTTTCGGAGACACAACACACATCGATAGCGCAATATTCTAGAGTTCTAGCTAGGGAAGTTTGTGATAATATTTGACATAAGGCTCGAACGTGTAATTTAGAACGGTTTCTTTTAGCTGGATACAGACTGTATCAAAGCATGTTCCGTGCAGGTTGTGTTGGGGCACGTTGTTTGGCTAGTTCTCATCCGATCAGCGGTAGTAGATACTTAGAGAAGACTCTAGAGTCTCATGTAAAAACCAAATATACTAACGTTTCTCTTGATGGGATTCATATTTCCATCTAAACTTTTCATATGGAATACAATCACATCCCTGTTCAACCGTTTTCTGAGTTGGGACTTGTCGAGTAGTGTCCAAGAATACTAAGCAACAATAGCTGGGTCGTTATAACAGAAGCTATAAGTTTCATAAAACCAGGAATAAAATTTTGGGAACTTAGTTCATAAACACTGATGGGGCATGAGGACAAGGATAAAGTTATAGGAAATGGGTAGGTAGCGGGGATAGAAGGAGCACTTTAGAGTGGTGAGGGGACTTGACGGTAAGCAAGAAGATCTCGAGTTTGTTAGACGTATGAAGGCGATTACCAATTTTCGGTTTTCTATTCCATGGTAGGATACTTCTTATTGAGGTACATGGAATAGGAATTAAGCAAGCAGTAGTCTTGAGGAACTAGGAGGGAGACCGCAAATGTCATTGAACTTTAGACCGGTCTCATGCGGACTGTCTGTGTGAGGTTTGTAACGTGCCAGCTCTGTTCTCCAAATGACTCTGCCGCCTGAAATTTGTAGTGTAAGATGAGGTGTGACACCCCTAGTGTTGACCTTTGGTAATTTCAGGCTTTCGTTTTAAAAAATCAGTATCACTACAAAATCCTGGTCACCTAAGGGTAACATCTTGCTTTAGTCGCACCCTCGTACATTCAGTGGGATAACGTAGCCCTCCAACTTTGAGCTCCTACCTTTATTTCACCATTTTCCAAGCAAACTGTCTGTAATGGTAGAAACAATTGTCTCAACCAATATAGCTCGATTGGGTGCCGATATTCTGGACCACAGTGTTTTACAAATTTATGTATTAAAATCTAGTTTGAACTTTATTGTAAAGAAGAAAAGCTACGTAGTTTTAGGTGGGATATAGGGACTTTTATTCTTGGAGTTTGTACGGTTTTTTAGTATATTTCTGGTTTTTACTCACTGATTTACATGGCACTGAAAAATCCCTTACGACTTCCCAAACCAATACTCTAAACTACTGTTCATGAGCAGTAAAATTAAGGTAGATGTTACGACTAAACTATTCTTTAGAGACGGTTATTTCTGTATAAATTTTTTAAAGATCTTACAATGGTGCAATATGCTGCCACCACTAGGCTGTTCTGATACTTATTACCAAGCTTTTACATGTAGAGCGACCAAGCCGTAAAAGAAAAAATAATACGATAAGCCCTGGAAACCACCTTGGACACTACTTCACTGATCTTCCTCAACCAAAAAAGTAACAAAATTTGAGTCTAGGTATTCTTACAAACGGAAATGTAAATTCAAATGGCATGTATTTCTGCTCAAAAGATGAAGGAAATTGAAATAAAAGCAGTAATAGGTTATCTTCAAAGTATTGGGTCAAAAGTGCTAAACTAACCTGAGAAGCCAATGAGGCAAGAAGAATAGCCACGTCGAGGGACGGACAAAGATCGCCTGGATCAAAAAGAAAGAGTTTCATACAACAACTAATCAGAATTAAAGCACTTGATCTTCAATTCATCAATACTGCTGAAACAATATGTCGATTTTCAACTATGAGTTACAAAATCTCATATGCTACTCTAAGTAGCTCATACTGAGAATACCCAAACGACTTTCCAAAGATACCAGTGGGCCAAATTTAAACATAAATTTTCGCTTCTATCAAGTAAATATAAAGGCCATCTACTATAAAAAGGTCAACATCAACAGCTGTTCATCAGGGGTATCCTAACATTTAATTTATTTTGTTATGAATGACTTACTAGGAATGGGACTTTCCTTATCTAACTCCTCAGGTGATGGTCCATCACTAGGTGACTAACTTAGCAAACAAAAATGCGCTAATGATAGCTACACCAGATGAATATGCTGAATATATATTATATATATAATACTGTCAGTCATCTACAACGTAGGATCCGGCACATATATGCATCAGTCCAAGTTGTTATGCTTCATTGGCACAAGATAAACATCAAATTCATAGAACCAGTTATTTCAACGGTAGTAATATATGAAAGAAAAAGATTGCATATCAGGATATGATACAGGGGAAAAGAATTAGTTCGCAGGAAGGTATAAAGTAATTTTAATCCCACGGTTTAATGGAAGACAATGAGTGTATACACTTACTCCACCGATTCTCAGTCATGTCACTCAGTCTCCAACCATTGGTTAAGATAGTCACGCGTACCACAACCAAGCAGTCCGGATCTACCAACACGGTTCAAACCAGTAGTGACTTTATGGACTGATGCCACGTTCTGGTCTGACCACCCCTAACTTTCTTCCATCCGTCTTCAATACTAATCAGCGTTGGACGCCGTGGTAATCGGTGGTTGAGCATGCGTAATACTTGGTCCAACCACCTCAGCCGATGTAGATTTACAACTTTATCAACCGATTTGCTATCATTCCATAGTATCCTGTGTCTAAACTCCTTCACTATTACTTGCCCAGGGATCGCAGAAGATGCGAGTAATACTTCTATGACATCTTTGGTCAAACACTAGTAACTAACGTGTATCCTCTACCCTTAATGGCTATGTCTCGCAGCTGTAAAGTAAAACAGAACAAACTATTGTTCAGCATACTTGTTACTTAGTTGGTAGACGGATATCTCGCCTTCGCCATAGGTGACGTAGGTCGGCAAAAGCCGAAAGAGCTTTTGGAATCTGTGCTGAGATTTCGTCAGACACCAACCCATTAGGGTTGATCAGACTTACAAGATAAGTGAAGTTGTCGGCACGTTCGACTACTTCACTCCCTATCCTTAGTTCAGGTGTTGACGCAGACCAGTCCTGAAGCAACAATTTGCCTCTAGAAGGGGAGAAACGCATCCAAAACATCATTGCATTGTTACTCAGTGCTACCAAAAGACTTCCATGTTATCAGCGTCTTCACCAAATAGTCGATAAGTGGACCTCCTGGTAGGAGATCACTTCCAAAAAATTCAGACGAGAACGTCATTCCTCGTAGTAGGTCTATGACGAAAATGGAGATAGTGGACAGCCTCACCGAACTAATGATATGGGGTAAAGTAGTTGGGCGCGTCGACCACTTTCCCTATCTTGGAAGTTCTATCAGCCTTAGTTGTGGGTTTATATCTGAAGAAATCTCGTCGCGAACTCAGAAAGCTTGGTTTGCTTTTCCACTGAGTCACTTGTGGTGTAGGCCAGACATCCATCTATTAATCAGAGGACGAGTACACTGTGCAGTAATTCACTTTGTCGTACTTTATAGCCGTGAAATGTACCCTCCAAAGATAAAACATATTCTTGGGTTACTAGTGTTTGATTACAAATGCGATTGGACCAGTGCTCGCATATGTTAGGACCAACAGGTGAGCAGTGCTGAGGTTGGATGTAGAGTACTGAGTGAAGAACAGGTTGTTTGAGCTTATTCAATAACTTGTATTGTTAAACATGTTTCCAACTAAAAGGCTGTGCAAATTCAAATGTTTAAAAAAAATCAAATTGCATTCCAAACAGTTCGTCTAACTAATTTATGTATATGTGTGCAGCTATCGCTTTTTGCTTCCCTTTTTTGTAGGCAAAACTTGTTTAAATACTTTTTGCTAGGAATTCTATATTGCCCCGACCGTTGCTGATACCTTGACGTGGAGGTTGGGCTTGACTATCGTGATGAAGCAATCGAGCTATGCTGGCTGGGACAATCGTTCCTCGAGGTCCTACCATGCCAGACAGGTCGGTTGAAGAGCGGTAAGACTAGAAGCAGAAATCCCAAGGTCCGAAGGCGAAGTTGTCTCCGGCGGTAAGGTCCTTTGAAGAACGGAGCTAACACTTCAAAAATCCCCCACAAAAAGGCCGTGCGTGACCGGCCTCAAACAGTTGTCCCTTGGGCACTGCGGTCACGCTCCCAGGCCGTTAAGACCAACACTAATCCAACTTCTTTTTCAGGTCCCTCAAGAAATACCTTTCCACGGTGTGGGCAGCCGGGAAGTGATATTAGCCCTCATACCCGTAACTGCACATGAGACCAAGTTGGTCACTTTCAAATCCTTCCTACACCTAATAACTCTCTTATCTCCACGACTAACCCTTTCCACGTCCTTTTATCACCTCGCACCGCTAGGGCAAACGATTCAAGTACACGGAACGTTATTCCTGGTCTCCTGAAACCACGCCTTAAAATACATGTAGGAACTTTTAACGTCTGAACACTGTGCCAAGTAGAACAACAGGCTTCCTTAGCTATGACTTTAGAATCTCGCACCACTGATGTGTGCTGCGTCTCCGAAACGTCCATACAAGATCCGAGTAGCGTCATTCATTTGAACTCACCTAATCAAAATAAAGAACCAACTTGATTCACGCTTAGTGTATCTGGAAGTACTGATGCTGGTTCTCGTGGCTTCGCTGACGTAGGTATAGCACTAAGTCCTAGGGCAGAACTAGCTCTTTTAGACTGGATCCCAGTAGACAGTCATCTATGCGCTGTCCGACTAAACGGATCAGTAAGAACTCGGAAAGATAGGGAAACTCGTCGTTGTCTCTTCGTCGCCTCTGCCTACTCTCCCACTGACTGCAGCTCAGACGATATAAAAGATGAGTTTTACAGGAAAATTTCTGACCTCCGAAAAGCTAGGCGTTCTGATGTAGTTATAGTGGCTGGTGACTTTAATGCTCAAGTAGGTAAACTAAGTGAAAGAGAAAGACACCTGGGTGGATCTTATGGTGTCGTGGCTAAAAGAACAGATAATGGCGACCGTCTGTTGCAGCTGTGCTCAGATAACCGCCTATTTCTTGCAAATACTAACTTTAAGCATAAGGAAAAACATCTTTTGACATGGCGACCCCCGAATTCGTCCCAACGTTGGATCCAATTAAATCACATCGCTATCAGCCACCGATGGAGGGGCTGGATAGAAGACTGTCGCTCATTCTGGGGCACATGTTTAGATTCAGATCATGCTCTAGTGCGAGAACGTATCTGTCAGCGTCTTACCGGACGTAGGAAAGACACGGCAGGGAAGTCTCTAAGGGTTCTACCTAATGATAAGCAAGCTAAGAATATATTTCAGGAACAACTGGAAAAACAGTTAGACAGACATGTAAGTTGTGTCCGCCCTGAGGCAGCGTGGAATGACATCCGAAAAGCTGTGGAAACAGCTGTGATATCCGCTAGTAAGGTAAGCCATAAGGTCAGGGAGAAACAATGGATCTCGGCAGCATCTACCTCACTGATAGATGCTCGAAAACTCATCCCACCTGACCCTGAACATAGCGAAGAGCAGAGTCAGCTTAAGCGAAGGCTAATAAGAAGCCTACGCAATGATCGTGAACAGTGGTGGGTAACGAAAGCAAGAGAGATGGAAAAGGCAGCGGCAATAGGTAACAGCAGACAACTATTCAGACTTATTAAAGAAACCGGTATTAGGAACCCAACTATTAGCGAAACTATTTCAGACAAAGATGGGCATATCATTCATTCTTAATCCAGGAGATTGGATCGATGGACAGAACACTTTAGGGATCAGTTCAACTGGCCTTCAACCACACTTCAGTTACCCACGATCCCCAGTCGTCCTGAATGGTAAATTGAGGTAAGTCCTCCAACTCTCTACGAGGTTGAAAAGGCTATAGGAAATTTAAAGCGAGGGAGAGCCGCAGGCCCTGACAAGTTTACCCCTGAGATTTTTAAGGATGGCGGTCCAGTACTAGCAACGAGATTGACTGAGGTCTTAGGTAGAATCTGGGAACTGGACGTAATTCCATCTGACTGGTCCCAATCACTGATTGTGCCAGTCTATAAGAAAGAACAAAAGTCCTCCTGTGACAATCACAGAGGGATCAGTTTGACTAATATGGTGTCTAAAATATTAGCTTCAATAATACTTGGACGCCTAACCAAAGCTCGTGAAGAGCAGACTATAGAAAACCAGGCTGGTTTCCGACCTGGACGTGGTTGCATAGACCAGATATTCACTCTACGTCAGGTCCTAGAACATGGACATACATTCAGACGTCCCACAATAGTAGTATTTCTTGACCTTAAGGCAGCATTTGACTCCGTTGATCGTGAGGTTCTATGGCAGTGTTTGTCACTGAAAGGAGTACCAGAGAATTACATTAACCTCATAAAGGCTCTCTACTCGAACACAACTGGTCGAGTTACAGTCTATGGTGAACTGTCATCAGAATTGATTACCTCAAGTGGTGGTGCAGAGTCTTCTGACCACTATAAGCAACAATGCAGGCATGTTCGGGATGCGATTCTCTCCCTCGAAGTGCAAAATGTTACTTCAGGATTGGGTTGCATCGACACCTGAACTAATGATAGGGAGTGAAGTAGTCGAACGTGTTGACAGCTTCACTTATCTTGGGAGTCTCATCAGCCATTGTGGTCTGGTGTGTGACGAAATCTCAGCACGGATACAGAAGGCTCGTCTAGCTTTTGCCAACTTGCGCCATTTATGGCGTAGACGAGATATCCGTCTAGCAACAAAAGGACGGGTTTACTGTGCAGCAGTCCGTTCCGTCCTACTTTATGGAAGTGAAACATGGCCGATAAGAGTAGAGGATATTCATAGACTACTAGTGTTCGATCATAGGTGTCTTCGACGCATTACTCGTATATCCTGGGACCACCGGGTAAGTAATGCAGATGTTAGGAAACGGGTACTAGGTAAGGATGGCAAATCGACTGATGAAGTAGTGAAACTTCACCAGTTGAGATGGCTGGGACATGTGTTACGTATGCCCAATCACCGACTGCCCCGACGTGCAATGCTTTATGGTGTAGGAGCAGGTTGGAAGAAAGCTAGGGGCGGCCAGACCAAAACATGGTATAAATCCATGAAGTCACTGACAAGAGGACTGGGCCATGTTGGTAGGTGTAGACTACCTGGTTGGGATTCGCGAGATGATAGCAACCGATGTTTACAGACCATTAACGATATGGCTCAAAATCGTTTGCAATGGCGAAGGTGCATCCACTCTTTGTGCTCTACCAAATTCTAATCTTCTGAATTCCACAAGCACCTATCCTTCTTCTCTTTACAAATTTGTTTCACCGAATTATACTCCTTCAATAACATCTTCAAACCCTAATTTTTCCGATTACTGCTTATACTCTTACTACTTCTACCAATATGGGATTTGAATTGACAACTTCATCTCTGTGCTAATGTGGTATGGCAACTCGAACTGATGTACGCACGGGCGAAGTTCTACGTTGTAACTGACTGACTGACCAGATAAATATGCGCCTCACCAATCTCATTTCATTTGTGGGAGGGCTGTGATATTACCCAGGTGCCCAGACTGAAGCAGGTGGTTTTCTCAGGGACCCACACACCGAGCCCTTGACCTGAAGTTCTAGTCCACAAGGCAGTGGAGCATCTTAAGGAGATGCAGTCCCATGATAGCCGGTGACCAACGATTGATTCATACTCCATTTGTTCCCTCAGGATACTGGAGCCTATGTGCACCATCCGTTTGGAATCAGGGTTTTCTAACTCCCCTAGGTGAACTTTCCATGTTCACCAACCCGGTTAAAGCGCCTATTATTCGCTTTTCGTCCTCTCAATTTCGTAATCAATACCCCCGCCACGAGAAGGCAGTGAGTAGGACTTCCTTGGTAGAGGCTATATATTCGCGTGGCCATGTGAGAGCATTTCGGGAGGGAGAACGGACTCTTCCCACTCCAATCGAATATTGAATAAAGCCATTAATAATGATAAATAAACGATGATAAGCAGTATAAATGCTGAGAAATATAGGCATGCATAACTGGGGTTCACGGTAAGTCCAATCAAAATAAAGTGGCAAATATTTCGAGACTGAACAAAACAACGGGCTATTGATACATAGATATAGCCCTTAACCTACCAAAACAATTCCCATTCATATTGGATTCACTTCGATTTAAAATGGTGGACTTAACACTCAAATAGAATAGACGACGAGTTGTAGCTTGTATTAGTTCCTGTTCAACATCTTCAGGGAAGAATTTGGTGTGAAAAAAGAAGCAAAGAGACTTAGAGATATCCTCTGGTTTTTGTGAAACAATCTAAAAGTCAATAGATGAAAAATTACTTAATTACCTTCTTATCTAATTTAAGCCAGTGGGAAAGTTGCATTCTTCCATTTGGAAAGAAGCTATAAAATTGTAGTCCGAAATACCACGTCTCTCTTAAGCCAATTGTACTGCAGACTAGGTCGAAGAGGTATTTTCCAGTGCTTTTAGGCTGGAGCGAAAGTGCTTGTTGTAAATATAAAACGTACCGATATATTAAACTCTAGCTCAGATTCATGTAGTGTTACTCTGATCTTCAAACATTTAGCATCCGAATTATTCCACTTCATCGAATGCTGAGATCCGCCGTTATATTACCAATCAGTGCTAAATTAACATAACTTTCAGGTACTTCAGTAAATCCGTGCTAAAAAATGTAGCGAAATATCCCACTACATAAAGATCAAGGAAAAAAGACAAAAGGTGCATTTGAATTTATGGGATTAATTCAGCGTAGTATACCACATTGTGACAGTCTCAATAGTGTTGACCAGTGTTCCAGATATTAAGTTTATTAATGAATAATAGGATTAAACCCATCCTATCCTTATCAACTGTTAACCTAAAGCACTACACGTCTTAACCATATTTAGATGCTTTCACGCAGACTAATATAAGAAATCAAAATACACTACACAAATCTACAAACGTATCACTTAATACCTTATTAGTACGAGTAGTTATGAGCCGAACGTCGACAACTGCATATCAACTGGGTTTTTAGGGCTAGTAGAGAAAAGCATACATTCAAAAACCCTAGCAGCGTGACAACTTATTCTGGTGGGTCAACTCAGAGTTGTCATTGATGATAACCCAGCTTCATAAGCACGGCTGACTGTGGCGTTTACTGGAGTCTAGTTGTACAAAACTCTATCTAGTCACTCTCGACCACCGACATCTAACGTATTCAAGGGAGGACAGGAAACACTTTATGACAATAGCAAAGGAATCAGTCTGACAAATGAAGAATTCTAAATACTAGTTTCCGTAGCTATAGCTACATTATAATGTCTAACTGGGATTCAAGGACAGTAAATCCGAGAATTCCAGGATGGTTCGAAATGAGAACGTGTTCTACAACATGGCCGTGCTTTGAAGTTAAGGAGTTGTTTTCAAAAGTATTTGTAAGTATGGCTAGGAAGTACTTATACATCCAAACCCTTGTATCTACTATCACCGGTCCTTGACCATTTGGAACTATCGTAATCAGTAGTTTACTGAGCACTTTGAAACTAATTGTTAACTGTAACTACTCAAGGCTTGAACTTTATATAGCCAACTCATATTTTGTAAAATCCAAACAACAGCCTAAACTCTAGCTACCTCTACAAATGTATACTTTTCCTGGGACTTCAAGGTCAGTACCAACATCGGAAGTACAGTTTATTCGAACCTCTCAAGTTACCATCAGAGTAATCGCATAAAATGATGGTGATGTTTAGAGAATGATTCCTACTTTCATGAACTCTGGTATGACTTCTCCCTTTAATTACATCTCAGAAGCAAACTTACCTATTTCGGTAATTATAAGCTGAGCATCTTGTAGTCATTGCGAAAAACCAATTCATTTAAGGGTGTGAAAGCTAGTCTAGGTCATAGGCACAGTATTTTCCTCTCATTAGACATGTCCAGAATATCTAATATACTTTTGATGAGCTAGTTTTGAAGTATTAGTGGTAGTAGTAGTAGTAGTAGTAGTAGTAGTAGTAGTAGTAGTAGTAGTAGTAGTAGTAGTAGTAGTAGTAGTAGTAGTAATAGTAGTAGGAGTAATAGTAGCAATCTTCAGTTCCGATAGATGACTTTATTTTGAGAACTGATGGAATAGACTAATGTGACTGACAGGTTTGTAATAGCTAAATTTCCATCGTACTGAAGCCCTGTGGACACCATATTTTGAGGATTTATTCGAACGATAATATCCCCCATCTTGTTGAGTTCAGGATTAAGCAGTTGCAGCAAGTAATTCACGAATATAAATGCTTTGTTAGTAAATAGCACTGCTATTGACTGTCTTAACTTTTCTAGGCACGTCACTAGCTGAAGAGACTCGGTCAAGTATCTCCACAAGATCACATTTTCTCTCGTCGCAAAACACATCAGTGATAGCTAGCCAGCGTAAAAGCTATACACTAAGACATCTGTCTACTGTCCAATAATTCCTACCACCTAATAACCCAATAAATCTGGATTAATTGTCCTAGAAACACTTCGACAAAAGGTAATACAACACCTATACAGCCAAGTTTCCCACTACCCGATCTCCCTTGACTGGTGAGCTTGACATAACCTAGAACATAAAAGTATATTTCGCGTTTCTGTCCCTTATCTCAAAGTCGTCACTCATTTTTCCTACACTGTGGCAATGCTTTTACATTCTGGGATTATTTCCCAATACCTAAACCATTCTAATTATAAATATATTCTGAAGTTCATTCGAATAAGAATTTCATGTCACCTACTTTAGAAATCATGTTGTTCTGACCGGAAAATATCGAAATGTACTTCCAATATTCAGAAACACGTTTTCATGCTCAATGTAATCCGATGACAAGCACAGTTCCTCGTACTTGTCCAAGCACTTCCATGAGGATACACTGGATTGAACGCGTCTGTTAACGATAATTCCACATCATATGAGAGTCTCAGGACGACCGCCTTTCAATGAGAAATCCTAACCGACTGGTAGAGTACATATCACGATTCACATTGGTACAGGAAGAACTGAAAATATATTTCTCAATAATAACTGCTATATTGAATATCACGAATTCCACTGTGTTTCGGATACATTTAACTTACTCAAATTTTAAACTAGTTTGTTCATAACTTTGACCTCACTCTGCTTTTGATTTGGTATTTTGGGAGTCCTTCTCTAGAAGCCTGAAAATTGAAGGTTTATTGTGCAACTGTTATATTTGCTATCAGAAGGATATATTTGGGTTGATTACTTGTAATTTACATGTAAACTTTGGTACCTGATCTGGAATTTGACTCTCTTTTTATTTGGGTCGTAAGTTACAAGTGGATCAATCGACCGCACTTTATTAAAGGACTATAGCAAAATTTGAAAGTAACACTCATGTTATATATTATATTAGATATTTCATAAATCAAGTCATGATGTAAGGAACGTTCGTTCAATCTTGGATATTTGGAACCAGGTAGGCACCTATTACAGTGTGACACCTATCCTCTCCATTTTTTCCACAGGAGATTGTGCAAGGGTGGCGTTCACTGGTTGTCATGGGATAGGAAAATTTCCAACCTTTGGAGATAATCAAAATTCTGCTAATATCCTATGTTTCGCAATCGGAGGAGCCACCTCAATTATGATCACATAAGTTACCACAGTTTACTGTTGAAGGGTTGATGATTGGCTTTGTTTAAAATCAAAAATTCCATGAGTATAGCCTGAAACTTCCCAACTGCTACTAGTAGAATTCATATCTAATTCAGTGAAATGGTTTGACTGCTTGTTGCATTACCGGAATTCTCCTAAAGAGCCAAACAGCATTTTCATTTCAAGTATTTCTCGGCTGTTGCAGCTTGTGGGAAGGTAACCTGGATATCTATTCAGAATAGGCTTGTAGTGGTATTGATTGTAACCGCACAATCCTTAAAGCTAAACAAGAGATAACTGAGGGAATGCCTATTCAACAATTAACATGGAGAGAAGGTCAACCATGGAGAAGGCGGGAAGAGTTAATTCAATTCAATGGAATGGCGTGGCCCAGTCTTGCGGGCGTGGTCATTCCGGTATAACTTTTCACTTTTATCCATATCGGATGTATTGTCCTACCTCATCTAAATGTGTTTTTCAGAAGTGGCAACAACACATTGGTGATTCTTGCGACAGGACGAGTCAGTGTAGATAATTATGTGACTTCTACGTAAGATGTTATAGGTTAGGTAGTCAAATCATTGCAAATATGCAAGTTTAGGATTATGTCCAATATTATAATAGTGCTAACTTTTCAAAAATTCTACGGGCTCATGATTGACTTCATCTGGTTGGTCGAAACCCCGATTCATGGAATTCAAGATGATTTATCCTGAAGGATTAGGTAGCATTCGGTTTTAGACGTAATAAAGGGGTGGAACTGCATGTTTATATGTTTCAAGCAATTGTGTATGTTCAGGTTTAATGTTCAGGCTATCTGGTTCTAATATTTATGCATTAACTTTGTCTATATATGGTGAAGGCCTTTCAGTGGTTAGGTTGTTTTGAGCTATGATTTTGTGTTGAGATTGTAGGATGGGTTTGTAGAATTATGGTCTTGTTTGTTATTAGTATTACTATAATAATATGCCTAATTCTTAAACCGTAGAATTGTCATGATTTGACTACATAATGTATGAGATGTTACGTGAAAGTCACAATATTGTCTACATTGACTCATCCTATCGTTATCTTCAGCAACATGATGTACAGTGCTTTTGAAGAACACACTTGTGGGGAAGATGGGATGATATATTTAATGTGAACAAAGACAAGTTATACAGAATGATCACGTCTACAAGTCCGAGCCATTCCATCCTATTTGACGTTCCCGCGTTCACCATTGTTGACCTCTTTTTTGGTGTTACACGCTGAATATCCATTTTCCCAGTCGTTTCATGTTCGGTTTTGAGGATTGTGTGGTTAGGACCAATACCGCTACAGGTCCACCATAGTTAAAAATAATCAAGTTGGGATAATAAAATACTCTTTTGTTTGCAACTTTTACAATGTTATCATAGATGCAACCAGTGTTAGTAGACTTATTGACTTCATGAAACACAGAGATCCCTAAGTATAAAGAGACTAAACAACTAGTGTCTCAGCTAATTCACCTTACTCTTTTGCAGACACTCAAGCTATAGGACACGACAGCCTTTTAGGAGGAAATCCATAGCTTCGTTCAGGGCTTCTCATAATCAAACGTCGCGGTTTTCATTCCTATTTCATTTTTGATATTGTCTTGTTCAGCAATGATTTTGGATATGGAAAATGTATGTGGAAAAGCACACTGAATATTCTACAGGGGTGGTTTAACAGACAACTTGTTTCACATTCTGCGATACCGCTGTGCTGACTTTTATATCTAAAGCACTTAGCAGTTAACTGAGTTGTCATGTTGATTGTGGCTGAGTAGAAAAAGTTGACTGTCAGAGGTGAAGTTTTGAATTTACTGCAATAGTTAACTTCATCCATTTTATCACTACTTCAAGCCATGAAACTATTGACTGTCTGGTAGCAGCAAGTTTAGTTGCTCGATATTCCGAAGAACGCCATTGGACTGTATTTTACTTTTCACATATGTCAAAACAATATGTTGTTAGCCCGATAATTATGCAGGTCAGAACAGATGAAAAGTTGACGTGTGATTCGGAGTAACGCTTTGAACGTGCGGATTCTTGCAAACGTCACACATCCAACTGTAGGAAGCAATTTCCTACAGGGGTAACTTTAAGCTATTCTCTAAACTGTCGAATACAGAGTCTTGGTTTCGCCAAAGTCAAAACAAGTAAGCTATTTGGCTTAATAAACTTTATCTGTTTCTAAAACGTAAATTAACAACATTAGTATACGAATAAACAGTAGTCTATTACATAGGGAAAAGGTGAAATATAAATGACATACCGAACAGTAAGTGGAGAATAGGAAAAATGAGTCAAAGGGGAGAATATTGTTCCAGAATGAACATAAAATTGTGATTGGTGGATAAAACAAAGACAGTCATACAAGGTCAAAGAATTTAGTGCGGTGGTGAGCGTTTCACCTATCATTGGTGTGTTCACTTATCGATCACACTTTACACTCCCCCCGAAACGCGAACCACGTCCGTCGTCGTATGTCGGCGTCAGATAACCGGCTTCTTCCAATAGACACAGGCTTCGCAAATCCCGAAGATTTCTTCGTTTGCCATTCTCAACCTTGCTGTACGAACTCGTCCGTCAGGGCCGTAGCTTACTTGTTCGACAATGGCTTTAGGCCATAGACTTCTGCTCGTTTCAACGTTACTCACGAGAACTAGGTCGCCGGGTTGTAGATTTCTGCTTACGTTTAACCATTTATCTCTTGTTTGAAGAGTCAGTAGATATTCTCTTATCCACCTATACCAAAATGAGGTAGTTAATCTTTGAGCTTCTTTCCATCTTTTATTGTATAATAAAGTCTTATCCACAGAAACATTGCCGGATGATAATCCTTTGTAAGTCAACAACGATTTATCCGGTATAAGAGCCTCTAGGGTGCCAGGATCATCCGTCATTTTAACTAGTGGTCTGTTATTTAGTATCCTTAAAGCTTCATCGATCGGCACACTTTGAAATAAAAGCGCTCTTAGAATAGTCCAATAGATGACCGATGAAATGGGAATATTTAACTGTTCTTTT